CCAGTTCCGCAGTAGGTCATTTCCGTCATCCCGATAACAGATTCGAGCACGTACATATCGATATTATAGGACCACTGCCGGTTTCGAATGGCTTCAGTTACATTTTCACTTGCATTGATAGATTCACGCGATGGCCTGTAGCTGTGCCCATAAAAGATATTACAGCCGAAACTATCGCAAAAACCCTAGTAGAGCATTGGATTTCCCATTATGGCGTACCTACTAATATCACAACCGATAGAGGAGCTCAATTCGAGAGCCGCCTCTTCCAACAACTCACAGAACTACTCGGAATCAAACGAATTCGCACAACATCCTACCATCCGATGTCGAATGGTATGGTAGAGAGATTGCATCGGCAACTTAAAGCTTCTCTTACAGCTGTCATCAGCAATAACGATTGGGCCAGCAAGCTACCGTTAGTCATGTTGAGCTTAAGATCAACAATCAAACAAGATATAGAATGCTGCCCAGCAGAATTGGTTTATGGAACCACACTACGTCTGCCAGGAGAGTTTTTCACTGCAGGCAAAAGCGTTCCAACTGATATAGCGGACTATGTACAGCGTCTTAAGCAGCATATGAGTAGTCTAAGGATAACGCTTCCGAGACAACATCAACGCCGTGTGTACATACCCAAACAACTAAGTGACAGTACCCATGTGTTTATCAGAAGGGATAATGTGCAACGTCCCTTACAACCAGCCTACGATGGTGCATTTAAGGTGATTAAACGAGACGACAAAACTATCACGGTAGAAAAAGCTGGAAAAACGGATGTAATTAGCATCGACCGAGTCAAACCAGCTTTCATCGAAGCCTACGATCAGCCAGTACATACAGATACTGCGAAAACCGTTGAATCATCGAAGCGTCAGTTCCAATCATCAACGACATCGACAAACACAAGCAAAGAGAATCCAGTAACGACAAGGTCTGGTCGAAGAGTAAGATGGCCCCAACGTTATGTCGCTGCAATCTTCTATTAATAATTTTCTACTATTTAAAATATTAATTATAACTTCCACTTCATTGTACACACATGCATTACTAATTTCATGTTATACGCTATAAAACTCAACATATCTTATGTACCCCTACACTTACACGTATAATTTTTATTTAAAATGTAAAGCAATACCGCATTCCTTCTATTTATTGCTATTATTTTTTAAAACCTCACGGACGGGCGCAAACCAAATGTACAGCACACACTAACTTCATCTTAATTTTGTACAAACCATTTTTTTCAAACGACTGTAACTACCCTACTCAGTTTACTATTTTTTTTGTGCAAACACAGACATTTTTCCATATATCTTTGTTTGCAGGGGGGAGCTATTATAGTGACTCACGTGCAATTGAGTTTAGTTCAGTCAAGGTCTTTTGTTGACCTAATTAATGGACAAAATCATCCATGATATAACAACTTGTTGTATTATCTTTATTATTATGCTTGTATGAAATACATATGCTTGAACATTGTTTAGCGCCTACGCATGTATTCATTCTACTTGCTTCATTATTAACTGATTAATCTATTCGCTGACTCATCCATTTTCTTATACATATATATATGTGTACATTTGCACCCATTCACTACTACTACTACTACAACTACTTGCTACTGCTACAATCGTAGTTCGCTTGCTCATTCATTTTGCCTCTCTGCTGTCTGGTCCGAATTATCTACTAAATAAACTGTAGTAGCTGCTTCTATTTGCCTTCTGATTTCAAACATCGTTGAAGATTATACGATAACGGTTCGAGGGTGATTAATTAACGAAGCACAGCCACTACAAGATGATGTAAAAGATGAGTTTTACAGAAAGCTCTCAGACCCCCCTCCTTAAGGCTAGGCGTTCGGATGTAGTAATAATGGCCGGTGATTTTAATGCTCAAGTAGGTGAACTAAGCGATAGGGAAAGACACCTGGGTGGATCTTATAGCACCGTCGCTCAAAGAACAGATAATGGCGACCGTCTGTTGCAGCTATGCTCAGATAACCGCCTCTTTCTTGCAAATACTAACTTTAAGCATAAGGAAAAACATCTTTTAACATGGCGACCCCCTAATTCGTCCCAACGTTGGACCCAAATAGATCACATCGCTATCAGCCACCGATGGAGGGGCTCGATAGAAGACTGTCGCTCATTCTGGAGCACATGCTTAGATTCAGATCATGCTCTAGTACGAGCGCGTATCTGTCTGCGTCTTACTGGACGTAGGAAAGACGCTGCAAGGAAACCTCTTAGGGCCCTACTTAATGATAGTCAAGCTAAGAGTATATTTCAGGAACAACTAGGAAAACAGTTAGGCAGCCATGTATGTGATGCCCACCCTGAGGCAGCATGGAATGATATCCGAAAAGCTGTGGAAACAGCAGTGATATCTGCTAGTAAGGTACACCACAAGGTTAGGGAGCAACACTGGATCTCAGCAGCATCTATCTCACTGATAGATGCTCGGAAACTCATTCCACCTGGCTCTGAACATAATGAAGAGCGGAGTCAGCTTAAGCGCAAGCTGACAAGAAGTCTACGCAATGATCGTGAACAGTGGTGGGTAGCGAAAGCAAGAGAGATGGAAAAGGCAGCGGCAATAGGTAATAGCAGACAATTGTTCAGACTTGTTAAGGAAACCGGTATTAGGAACCCGACCGTTAGCGAAACAATCTCAGAGAAAGATGGACATATTATTCATTCTCAATCCAGGAGATTGGATCGATGGGCAGAACACTTTAGGGATCAGTTCAACTGGCCTTCAGCCACACTTCGGTTTCCCACGATCTTCAGTCAACCTGAATGGCAAGTTAATGTAGGTCCTCCGTCTCTTTACGAAGTTGAAAAAGCCATAGGAAATCTGAAGCGAGGGAGAGCAGCAGGCCCTGACAGGTTTACTCCTGAGATTTTTAAGGATGGTGGTCCAGTATTAGCAGTGAGATTAACTGAGGTCTTAGGTAGAATTTGGGAACTGGACGTAATCCCATCTGACTGGTCTCAATCACTGATTGTGCCAGTCTATAAGAAAGGACAAAAGTCCTCTTGTGACAATCACAGAGGAATCAGTTTGACTAATATAGTGTCTAAAATATTAGCTTCAATAATACTTCGACGCCTAACAAAGCTCGTGAAGAGCAGACTAGAGAAAATCAGGCTGGTTTTCGACCTGGACGTGGTTGTATAGATCAGATATTCACACTACGTCAGGTTCTAGAACACAGACACACATTCAGACGCCCCACAATGGTAGTATTTCTCGACCTTAAGGCGGCATTCGACTCTGTTGATCGTGAGGTTCTATGGCAGTGTTTGTCACTGAAAGGAGTACCAAAGAAGTACATTAACCTTATAAAGGCTCTCTACTCGAACACAACTGGTAGAGTGAGAGCTTATGGCGAACTGTCATCAGAATTGATTACCTCAAGTGGTGTTCGTCAGGGCTGTCCACTCTCTCCATTCTTGTTCAACTTTGTCGACGTACTTTTAGAGATAACACTCTCCTCATCTAAATTTCCAGGGGTTGAACTTCTACCGGGAGGTTCACTTGTTGACTTAGAATATGCTGATGACATAGTTTTATTTGGTGAAGACGCTGACAAAATGCAGAGTCTTCTGACCACTCTAAGCAACAATGCAAGCATGTTCGGGATGCGATTCTCCCCTCGAAATGCAAAATGTTGCTTCAGGATTGGGTTGCATCGACACCCGAACTAATGATAGGGAGTGAAGTAATTGAACGTGTCGATCGCTTCACTTATCTTGGAAGTCTCATCAGCCCTTGTGGTCTGGTGTGTGACGAAATCTCAGCACGGATACAGAAGGCTCGACTAGCTTTTGCCAACTTGCGTCATTTATGGCGTAGGCGAGATATCCGTCTATCAACCAAAGGACGGTTTACTGCGCAGCAGTTCGTTCCGTCCTACTTTATGGCAGTGAAACATGGCCGGTAAGAGTAGAGGATATCGTAGGTTACTAGTATTTGATCATAGGTGTCTTCGAAATATTGCTCGTATATCATGGGACCATCGAGTAAGTAATACAGTTGTTAGGAAACGGGTACTAGGTAAGGATGGCAAATCAATTGATGACGTAGTGAAACTTCATCAGTTGAGATGGCTGGGACACGTGTTACGTATGCCCAACGACCGACTGCCTCGACGTGCGATGTTCAGTGGTATAGGAGTAGGTTGGAAGAAAGCTAGGGGCGGCCAACCAAAACATGGCACAAGTCCATGAAGTCACTGACAAGTGACTGAGTCATGTTGGTAGGTGTAGACTACCTGGTTGGGGACCGCGAGATGATAGCAACCGATGGTTAGAGACCCTGAATGACATGGCTCAAAATCGTTTGCAATGGCGCAGGTGCATCCACTCTTTGTGTTCTCCCAAATTTTGATCTCCTTATTCCTCTTTGTCTCTTTTTTTTCTCCTCTCAAATTTATTTCACTGTATTATACTCTTTAAATAACATCTCCAAACACTAATCTTCCCGATTACTGCTTATACTCTTATTACCTCTACCACTACGGGATTTGAATCGACCACTGCATCTCTGTGCTAATGTGGTGTGGCAACTCGAACTGATGTACGTACGTACGAAGTTCTACGTTGTTACTGACTGACTGAATTTTTACTGAACTACATGATATAAACTAAAATATAAAAATAAATATTTACATAAAAATTAAATAACTGAAATGTTTATTACAAGAATTACAAAACTCAAATCATTAGTTCCTAATACAATTAAATGAGCCATAATATTCACCATCGAACTGCATTAAATCCAGCATGGAATACATCTTTTTTACTGACATATATACTAATCTAAATGTTCAGTAATTATTGCTTTAACGCAATCAGCAGAGTGTATATCACTTTGTACACTTTGATTAGTGAATAACTGTTATTCTGTGTCAAAGAATTTTACCAAATTAAGCGAAATAATAAAAATTATTTCAAACAAAATATTTTAAAATTTCTATAGTTAACACTCACAATACGATTTTCAAGGTTTGCTGCCATTGTGTGTATACTATCAAGCAAACGTGATTCTAAGGATCTTTTTTCATCTTGACATTGTTGAATAGATACTTGAATTTCATTCTGTAATTCACTGATCTTTTGTTGTAAACGTCTTTCAACATCGGCAATTTGTTTATATAATGTCTCCTCTAAACGCTGAACAGCGGAGTTAAATTTAACATTATCACGATCAATTTGATTTGTTATTTCAGCAAACTATGAAAATTGAGGAAAATAAACAGTGAAAATGATAAATTTTGGGTATATTAAGTGAATTCAAAGACCTAAACTTATGCTACTGTAAAACATTCCAATAGTCATTTGAAGGTTAAACTAATGGTCTGTGAAAAAATATTAACTATCACACTATATTTCACCTGAAGTCGTTAAGCCCGACTTTTTAATTATTATAATATAACCATAAAAGTTTACGTTGCACGAAAATATTAGTGACAGTTCAACTTTTAACTTTATGTTATATATTTTCTGGGTTTGATGCAAAATAACTGCAATCTTCACTTGGCGCTAAGTCAGTCATAAGTATCGTGAAACATGGCGTATATGTGCACTAGTTCAAGTTACTACATCACGTCAGTACAGCAAAACGAATTTATCAAGGTAAGGACCAAAAATTTAGAAACAGTAGTATTTTTGATAGTGAAAGAAATATTGCTCATAAGGAATATGACTTGAAAAGAGCGAATGACGCTTCAGAATAATAAGTATATAGTAATGTTGAAACTTAGGATCCAAGATAAAATAAAAAATAGATGAAGCTGAGCCATGTCACTCAATATCTCCAACCACTGGTCACGAAAATCGGGTGAACATAAACCAAGTACATTCGACTTACCAACATGAATTAGTACAACAATTAGTAGCTTCATGGGCTGATGCTATATTTTGATTTGGCTATCTCAAGCCTTCTTCTGACTTATTTCTACGGCAGACAACAATGGTCGTGAATACTTAAATATGTCCCACCCACTTCGGCCGATGAAGATTCATCAATTCATTAACCTAATTAGCTTCTTGCCTTGTACCTTAGGTTTGGTTTCCACATTACTCACTCAGTACTGATAATAAACTCGAGATATCGTTCAAAGTAGACTATTATCAATAAAAGGAACCTAAAAGATCCTCTACTATTAAAGTTCACACTTCATAGTCATATAGTAAAACATGGTGAGCTGCTAAACAATATGCTGACCCCTTCATCCGCAGGAGAATACCTCGCCTACGCCACAAGTGATGCAAGTTGGCAAAAGCCGATCGGGGTTTCTGAATCTGTCCGGAGATCTCATCGGACTTCTGATCACCAGAGCTAATGAAACTCTCAGTTACTTCACTCCTATAGGCCAATCTAGGCGATGATACTAACCAATCTCGAAATACAACCGATTATATGATTCAAAAACGACCATAACAAAGGAAACTAGTTTTCTGTCATCATCTGAATCTCGAATACAGGTCTAATTTTGCGATTCCTTTCATTGAAACTGAACTGTATTTCCCAGTAAGTGGGTTATCACTAACATTGGTGGCATCACCTGGACTTCTAAGATTTTGATGATCCTGCTAGTTTACACTCCTATATCAAAGTCACTTGTGATGATTCACACTAATACACACTTGCATCAGGTCGTGCAATGCTTTTGGCTGACTTAATCTTGTGAAACTGGAAGGATTGCTAAGAAGGAAGCAAAAAGAGATAAGCATTTGGGAAATAACACTATCCTCATCCAATATAAATGTTATATTACTGCTTCGCTTTCAAAGTGGCTGATCGCATACGTTCGAGTTTCCCTCCTAAACCTCAAAAAACATCTAGAAGTTAGCCACTAATGAAAACAAAATAATTATTTTATACAAGGCACCAAGTTAAATCAGTTTATTCAGTGCAACAGACAGGAAGTACTACAATGCTATCAAATAACATTTAAATTTACGTTTCTCCGCTAACTGCTATAGTAACACAACCTAACGTTATTTGACTTTTATCAAAGCAAGAACTGTTGTCTGTATGTGATGAAACTAACAAATACACTATATATAAATGACTTAAGTACAGATAAGTAGTCAGACAGCATAATCTTGTGTACTATAAACGTGGTGAAAGGAAGAATAAAAGTAGTATTTACCTGAAGTAAGGTTACAATTTTACAAATTTTACATCTAGGAAACACAAAAATGTTATGCTTTACTGGACTGCGGAAAGCAATCCAGTCAAAAAAGGTCTGACGAAAATGTATCCTTATTTTATTACAAGTGCATACAAACAGACAATAACTTAGAAAATGTAGAATTTGTTAAATTATTTATAAATGGAAAAGAACGGAAAATATCATTTCATAATCGCTGAAATAGAGAAATCAATAAAATGTAAGAGAACGTAAGATGTAAAAAGGAAGGTTAAATAAGACTTTGAATACAGTAAGAAAGGCTAATAATCACTATTCTGGTAATTTAAATGTCTTTATTATTTCTATGGAAGATATTAATGCCGATACTCTATTAGATAACTTCAAATAAATTAAGCACTGATTAGATTGGTAATAATAATATGGTGATCTATTTATGATATTCCAACGGTACGTCAAAAATTCAAATTTCCACTCATCGGAATATCACTGATATATCAATATTATGTTATTCCTGTGAAAGGGTTTTCCGATTTAGAATGACTTGTAAATCAAATTTTAATGATGTTAGTACTGTCTTAGTGCGTAATGTAACACAAAAATGGACTGTTTCAAATAGAGATGCATGGGGTAGCTGTTCTGCCCTACCGTAGAGCTTCTTTTCAAGTCACTAATAGAAGGGAATCTAAACTTGATGATTTCAGCTTATTCACAAGAACGTCTAGTGATAGTGTCCGAAAGGCTAATCTCGGTTACTCTCAAAACCATGAATGTTTACAAAAGCCTCGTAAAGCTTGAAACTTATAAGTAATAAGAGTAGTATGGTGACATTTAGAAAGAAATCTATATTAAATCGACCCTATTTGCTTGAAGCACTGACGATTGTTCAGTTAATCACCGTAACGGGTTCAATGGTTGCGAATAAAAGCTTAGTATAATCCATGAATCGTTCACAGATTACTGAAGATTTTTCTACCGTCTGGTAAAAAGAACATTCTGTTTAACTGTGGGTTAAAATTATGTTTTTACTGATGATAGAATCACTGAGAAAACAACACTGGAATTAGGTATAGGGTAGTGGGAGGGTGAGGTAAATCGATTAGTGAGGCTGAAAATGTGTTTCGACCGAAGTTGTTCCTATAGGTCTTACATATTCATATGTAGCATATATCGACGCGCATGCCAGAAAGTATAGAGATAAGTTTAAAAAGGCTACATCCTCACAGATAGAAATATAACATCAAACCATGAAGCCAATGACTTTTGGTGGCAGTTGAGTTTGGACTGGGTAATTTCCTGACTGAAGAATACAAGACAATTGTAATCAAGATAAACTAATCCATTCTTTACCTTGCTATAATTCTTGGGGTTAGTAATCTTCTGTACTTCTTATTGTCCGAATTTACACATTTTTATTTTATGTATTTCATATAATACCAAATAAAGACACTAAACTAACTGAGAGATGAACAAACCTGAAAACTATTAGGTCTTTCTTACCTTATGTTCATGTAATTTAAGTTGACCATTCAATTCATTTATATCATGTTTATGAGTATCTACCAATTGGCGTACTTCTTCAATTGTTTGATTTGTTCTTTGTGATAATGTCGATATAGCTTGATCACAACGCGTTATGCGACTCCTGTGCACACATTTTTTTAAAATTAAACAGATAATTAAAACGATTATTTATTTATGTTTTCTTCAAAATTTAGTGTACAGCAGTAGACTTATCAACGCAGAACTTATACAAAAGAATGAAGAATAAACTAACATAGAAAACTTAGACTTCGGTTATAGAAATAAAACTTGTTAAACTTTACACTTGGATGATAGCAGCTCCATAGCCACAAATAAAGGAAAATGAAGACCACAGTCACTAAAAACATGAAGTCCAGCAAAGGGATCTTTTATCAACGAATTTATTATCAAGATGTTTATTGTTTATTTTAAAGTACCAGTTCCGTGAAGTCGTATGACATACGCTTTTGTGTAGCTAGATACATAGGATGTAGCTAGTGCTTGCTTTCAACTCGGTTACGCAAACGTGTCCCCAGGTGGTTCCACAAGAGTCAGAGGAAAGCGGTCAGAAGTCTCATTCTTCAACATCTAATCGACTCTAATCATTCTCCCGATCTACAGATTGACTCCAAAGTTTTGTAAACAATTCGTACAGATCTACCTAAATTCCTTCGTATCCAACTCCTCAAAACACCATCCATGAGCTCAAACCAAAATTATACCTACAAAAGAAGTACGTCCTATCTTTATCATTACCTTGACCTTAATCTATCTTTAATAATAGTATTATTATTGCATTTCGTAATACCCTGCTTCCTTTACTTATGTCTCATACCCTCGTGATTGTATTCAAAATTGTTTTTGATATCACTTCATTTAATTTTGCACCTCTATTACCTTTAATTACCCTCATTAATGTTTAAAAAAAAACATTTTAATCATCTTGCTGCATTCACACTATAATTCGATGCTAACTTGTTAATTTTGTTGTTCTTATTCATACTACGTAATCTAGTATTATAATCTTTCAATTGCACCATCGTATTTATATTCATATATTCTCAAGAAACGTGAAAACACTTCATACGTATATTAGATTGTATAGCTTGATAACAAATTCGTTGAAAACAGATCTCTTTGCTGGACTTCGTGTTTTCAGTGTTTAAACAGGAACTATAGTAATTAGCCATTAAACTTTCACCTGTAAAATGATAGTTACCCACAAACTGATTACTGAAAAGTAACTGATTTTACTCTGTACATTTTATACTGCTAATCGAATTCAATCACTCAAGTCGTATTGTGACCACTAATCTAGACTTAGTATCACAGTGCATTCAGTTTTATATTAGATAAGGACGGCTCGCGGAAACCTCATAAAAATTTCCTGTTAGAACTTGTCGGTAAGTTGTATTTTCAGTATCGTGAGAACATACACGTCTTAAGGGATCGGAATCGCACTTATTACTATTAAGCAATCAACTGGTATATTAACTTATATATTGTTTAAATATTATCAAGTAATATTATTAGTACGATATGTTTCAGTGAATCATATTCGATGAAATTATAACGTATTTATCTAGTATGTACATTACTTCCGATCATCTATTTTCATCTAGTGATGTGTTCTGCAATCTAGTTAGTTTTAAACTGTCTTCCCTTTTGGTCTTCAAATGTCCTGCACACGTAGTGATGTTTGAGGTACTAAAATTTTTCTCTCAGTCTGTCGACTGTGTTAACTTACACTCCACGTTCTGATAAATATTGCTTGAAAGCAATTCTATTAGTAGCATTCATAAGACTACTACTGTAGTAAAAAGACTTCCAGTGACTCTCAAACTGGAATCCTTGGCAGAAAAAGTGATAACCCAGTCAGTAAGTAAAACGAATTTGTCCAGAAAGCTAGCTTTATATACAACAAGTACGTAAAATCGAACGACAGTCTAAAATGACAAATAAATAATTTATAAATAATAGTAGATGTAAGCATTTTTACAGTTTGCTTTTTGAATCTAATTGACTTGAAAACAACAAATCTTAGCACTGATCGCTTTTCTACTCCTTTTTTTAACTTTTTTATAGTACACTGATATAGTAAGTGAATCTTTCAAAGAAGTGTGTAAATATTTTGCAAGCTTTAAAATATCAATAATTTTATATTATGGGCCTTTACTAAAACTTTTAAAGAGATCACATTAAATTTGAAAAATATATCGAATAATTGTGACCAAAACTTATAAATAAACTCTTTCCTACTGTTCCTAATTTCCAATGTACTCTAAGTAAAATACATTTTAAAAAGAAATAAAATATTAATAGCCCTAAGAATATGGCTCACCTTACATCCGTTAAGCTAGTTAAATGATGATTTTCTAAATTTTTTAGGTTTACAGCGGCATCTTTCACCGTAGACCATTTATCTCGTACATTTTCTTCAAATTTCTTTTTTTAATACAAAGTGAAACAAATACATTAATAAATGCTGTGAAATTTTACATTTTAAATAAAACGAGAAACATTTAACTGAAAGTTAATTTGAAGCTTACCTAAATAATTAGATTATTAATAATGCATTAACGTTTTGCTATGACCTGCAGTATTTTATGACAGCAGTGGGTAAGATTTATTTATTTATTTATTTATTTGGACACATGAATATTGGTACAAGAGAGCGCCAATATATATGCGCCACACAAAACAATGAAAATTCGAGAGGAATACAAAGAAAAAAAAAGCTAAGGAGCGCAACGAAAAAAGAGAGAACAATAACGAAGAGATTGGTGTAAGGTGATGTGCTAGTAATCACGGAACGCAAAGGTACAATCGGAAGAAATCTTTCAGGTAAGGGAGACAGAACCACATTTTATGAAGAAAGTAAAAGAAGGTTACAGCAGGATCGCCACTGGCTTCTATTCTGAGCCATATCTGATAACGTCTCTAGCCACTGTGTAGGTAAGATACCCACTGTGTGGGTAAGATAGTCAGGAGAATAAAGAAAGTAGAAACACAAGAGTTTGATCCAAATAATAATGGACAGGTGCATTGAGTAGAAAATAAAAGAAAGAATCATCCACTTTACATGGAGCAATCTTAAAACATATAAGATTTTCAGTTACAACATCCTTTTCATATTACAACTTAATGCCTTATTAGATTAGGGTTGTATTTTTCTCTACTCCAAGTTTACCACACTTCAAAAAAGTGTTTCTCTTGATTTATATCCTATCATAAGGCGTCATCTTAGGCAAACAGGAACAATTTTCTTGTTCTAGCTTGATATGAAACTAAAGGATTGGGCATTTTTGATGTGACAGGCTGATAAATACATGTAAGTAGACGTGTAAGTAAACAATATGACTATTATATTGCACATGATTATTTTTTAAATTATATTTTATTGATCTTCTTCAAAAAGCCTTATGTAGGAAAATATTTTGATATGCTTTCGCCAATATAAAATTCATCCTGTGTATTTCATCAATAAACTTATATCGTCTCTGTTATGATGAACAATAATTAGCAAAAATAAAGCCTAATGTCGCTTTTGTTACAAAATTTTCAAATCAATGATATCGGTGGCAAACTTTAGTCCCCTCTGTTAGTAAAGATAATGGTTTAAGTTAGTTTCTGGGCATTAATCTCACATTTTTTTAGTGCTCAGCCAAATTACAACTATGCAGGTTTGAATTTGGAGATATTTTTTAACCGGAAAAGCTTGGCGTAAGGAACCTGATATAAATTAGGTCTAACGCATGTAACTGTATATGGAGGTTCTTTTTAAGACTTTCCATAGATTATTTAAGTTATACTTAGTTATAAACAGTAAATAATCTGTTGTTACCGTTGCTGGCACAAAATGTGAGGTGAACATATTTATATCAAATTTTAAGTGTCGATTTTGATTGAATAAATAGAATTTATGTTTGATGAGTTTTCTCATCTGTTTGTTTTATGATCCTTTGAATCAACATGTCAATCAAAACCCTCAGATAAGGACGACGTTCTTATTGCAAGTAAATCTCTGAATGATTAATCTTCTCAAAAATATCATTTTTATTAAAAACTATAGTATACATATTTATGAAGATGAATCAGACTGATTCCATATCTACATTTATTTAAACTTTACTTGCTCACTCTTTAACTGACTTATTGCATCCTCACACTTTCTGAGGTTGAAATAACATCGAAATCCAACTTTGTATTTGTTATAAAGTAAAAAATGTAAATCTTTGCAGTAGGAGAAGTTTTTAGACATGTTTATTTTATATAGGTCCAATTTAGGCTTCAACTGATTAGATGCTATCAATAAAAAATGAGAAGGTATTCCATATGAAATTCGAAATTGTTAGCATTATGAAGAACTCACTGACCAATATGTGTGTACTTATTCATATACAGGCTAGAAGCTGCCTAAGCATATCGAGATAAAATATGTATCCTGAGGACTTTCTAAAATGAATATGGAAAAAGGGATAACCATGTATACGAATCTACCGCAATCAAGGATTTTTCCAACGATATTGTTTGTACCCAACCAAACACAACCATCAACAAACAATGAGAAAAAACTACAAAATAGAAAGCGGACTAGAAATGTTTCATATTCTACCCCAACTCAATATAAAAGCATACATAGCCAGTTCAAAAAAAAGTTAAAATTGAGTTACATCTGGTAACTGTTGAGCTATTTCAAGACACCTTTGAAACCCTGTATAATGTAGAAGGGGATAAAATACATGAGCTTTGTTCATCATGTTCATAACAAGGAAGAAAACGTAAGTACTTAGAGTACATTGGCAATGGTTTATGAAACCAGAATATAATAGTTCAGCAACAAACTTCCGGTCTGCAAAACGGAAATCCGTAAACTTCCATTACATCAACCTGAAAGCTCGTTTATTCTCAGTATGTCTTTAAGTTTTTACAATTATAATAATCCTAGGACTATTAGCGAACTTTCTAATTTTCATTTAGAGAAAATATATTGTTCGGACACTTAGGGAGAAAATTACAAGAAGTAATTTCACTTTAAGTGAAAGGAGATCAAAGTTTAGTGACAAAAAGTGTAATTTGCCACTTGCGTTACGTGTTGATTCACTTTACAAAAATCCACCCCTAAAATCATGTTGAGAAGCCAAAAAAATATTAGCCATCAACTGCATCGCTACTAAATGCAACCAGAGGATCTCTTATACATACATGCAATCCTTGATTATCTTATTAAACAGAAGGAAAGAAACCTAAAATTCATTCTCATAAATAAAACGTCCTGTCAACAACTTACACGAACTTCTAAATCGATTTTCTCAATGCTTTGAAGTAGGGTTTTAATTTCGTTGACAAGAATATCCTTTTGAGACTTCTGTTCGTGCTCCAGAAAGTTTGACCTTTTAAGATGTTCAATCATATCAGCCTTTAGAAGTGAAATTTTTTCAAGTATTCCGACAGTAATTGATTCCTGAACACCTAATCTCCATTCAACTAAGCTCTGACGATCACATTTCGGTATCTCTTTTATATAATCTATTGACTGATGGGGATAAGAAACCACGGATGCTTTAGTTGTCGGTATATGTGGAAGTTCAGTTCTGCTGTGTGCCATCCCAAAAACAATCGTTTTATAAAATATCACAAACTGAGGAAAGTGAAGTTTTGGTTAGTAAACTTACTTAACTTCCTATTTCAGACGAATTTAACAAATACCACGGTGACACCTAAAATTCACGAAAACGCCAACAGTGTACTTGTAACGCATACCCACAACCAGTGCTTACAAAATTAAATTGGTTCTCTGTGACTATAGCAAACCTGACCGTGAACATTCACAATTGAAAGATAAGATGTATGATCATTTCGTAATTATTTTACTGTGTCAAATAACTGAATTTCAGTTGATGCGGATGTAATAAAGTAGCAAAGCATAATGCATATTACGTCTTCAAAGAAATTCACATTTGGAATGAACTGACAAACTTATTTTGTAAATAGTTTTTAATATTATTTTTATTTATTTCGTCAACCTTTCACTGCATGTATATTTATCATTAAACGACTGTGCCTGTTGTTTTAGCCAATGACCTTGAACACACTTTTCCGTTGTACAACCACATAGAGTGACATACTCTTGCTGGTTAACAAATACACTACTACTCACACATTCCTCGTTCTATCTTCGTTTGTGATCGAGTTAACTGAAGTCTAAATCAAATACTATCTATATTTATAGACTGCAATTGGAATATATCACATCCTACGTTGGATTATATCACTGGAGAGTTCGTCAACCAGATTGGAACTACCAAGCATTTATAATTGTGGTTTCTTAGTACCAGGCCAAGGCCGAACACGCATCAATTTGGTGAACTTAAGTAAAGTCCCAACTTTCTATTGTATTTGTAATAATTAACTTGTATGTATTAACATTTCTATTGATCTTAATAACTTTGTTGTTACTTTTTGCGTTTATATATCGTCTGGTTCACCACATGTCAGTTAATTTGGTCTGGCATTGGTACTTATCATCAGTTAGAACATAAGTGCGGATGTTCGCGACTTGCATGAAATCCCTGTGTGCGTTATCGCTTCTGATCGCTTCATTCTACCCCTTGTAAGATCTAGCAACTACAAGTATTTGTGGGCATGATACCGTATTACCATGGGTTACTTAGGACTTTCAGTGACCATTTGAGAAGTAGATAGATTATTTAAACACAGTATCATGAGCAATAAGAATTCCCATTGAGCACGTAGAATAACCTAAGCATTAGACTTTGTCTGTCTGCTCTGTGTTGCCGCTATGATGCTGTAACATAAAATAGTTTAAGTTTTGATAAGAGTTCTTGCCGTATGTTGTACAGCATTTTCTACTGCTCAGGAGTTTTGATGGCCTGTCCGACCTAATATTTTATTGAACCTTAGTATATTTACATACCACAGACCAGTTTCGTATATATTTTAGGAGTCTTCATAATTATACAACTTAGTATCGAAAGTCAAAATCTTAAACTTTATAAGCATTCTCATATTTCACATATTACTATAAGAGGATTAACTACCAGAAAAAAAACGCATGGATTTTAAAGTATGCATACCAAATAACTCGCTGCATATGTTCGTTGCAGTTTATATATAAGATACAAAAAGGGAAAGGAAGATAGACAATGAATACAGTAAACGACAAACAGGAATACGAAAAAATGTACAATGCATAGTTATAGCGATTAACAAGGACATGTATAAAAGCTCTGATGAATAAACGTTACAATTGAGAGGTGCACAAAACGGAACGACTACAATCCTTTAGTGAAAAAACGCTTCCAGACGTTCCTTTGGAAGGTTCCTAGATAATTTGTCTTCAGAATACGTTGTGCGGTTTGAATACTAGATTTTTCTGAACTGAGATCCACAGACGTTGTTTTCCTTACAATTATGGTCTAGTGGGATGGGTTCAGCAGAGCAATTTTACTTTCAGAATAGCGAAACGAATTAATTCTAGTAACACAGGAAATTTAAAATGTTTTAATTTGTTGTTTATCAAACCAACACAAATGAATTCATGAGATTCCAGTTTCGTATGTGGTGAATTTGGCTCAGGCAAGAAATGTATAGTAGTAGTGCGAATTCCAGCAGAGTCATCAGAATGAAACTGAGACCTAAACAACGAGTGAGATAGGAAATTTGCTTATGTTACGACCTGAATCAAATGATATCAAGAGCACGTAAATTTTACAACTGCCTAAGAATTTACTTAGGACAACCCACCAGTGTTAGGTTTTAATAGAAATCAGGGGCAAAGAGTCAGTAAAAGGTAACGAGTGGAACTAAGCCAAGGTTAGAATAGTGTGTTGACAGGGTTCAAAATTTGATTAGAACAAACGTCTCACAAACCAGGGCCAGGGGTGCTGATAACAGTTTCAACGACTCACTTCTAACATAGAATGTTCACATCACTTTTACAGGAATAATCTATATTTTGCAATATGGGTTTATAAGTGAGGTATTACCTTAGCAGAGTTATTAAACATTAAATCATTTGACTTGTGTGACAGACTATTCGTTCTGCTAAACCAACCAGAAATTGATTAAGCCCCGGCGATGGGACTGTACAACTATCTTACAGGTGTTTTAACATATTCAGACCAGAAGCATTAAGTGGTTTTGATGCTGGAGAACATATATACAGTTTGAGTTTTCTCAGAAGCTCTATAGATCAGATGCCCCTTTCTTAATCGTGCTTTCGACAAAAAAGGGAAATTTAAATTACCAAGGCTAATGACGACAGAATGTCGAAAAATCCTTTTTGTTTCTAATGCAACAAATTAAGTTACGTCTGATTAGTATGTTTCACTCTAACTAAAGGCATACACTAGAATAATCTATCAATGAAGAAACCACATACGAATCAAATAAGATAAACAGTGTGTAATAAATGACGACACAATGGAATAGGTCTGAAGTAATGAAGAAAAAAACTAGTTTAAGGCGCGTTGAATGCTTAATTATTTCAGAAAAGTGATATCAGAGACTACTGAGATAGTTTCGGGCTGCGGTTATCTATCAACTGCATACTTCACACCTTCATACAGTAAGCGCAACACAACTGTACAAGTCAGGAAATAGTTAAGAAGTTGCCACACCAATCTTGACCATATACTTATTCTTTGGCTAAGCCCGTCCAAAGTTACTTGAGATAGGTCAATAATCATCACAGCGGTTCAGCTGGACATGCCATTCATAAAAATCATCTGATTACAGGTTATCTGGAAGTTTAAATCAAAACATGAATAAATGCCTTACTGAGGGTATCATTAAATAGTTTCATTCCTCAGGAAACCCTACATTTCTTTCGTCAGTGGTACAGATTCCCCTAAAACCATGGCTTTTAATACAGTTTACTAAGTTTCTGTCAAAAACTCCAATGATTTCAGATCAATACAACAGACAATACTTGAAATTTTTTTCTACTTTTCTTACTTAACTGTAACTTCTATGACAGCTTGTATTATTTCCTAAACTGGATTCGGTATTTAATCTTATAAATGGTACGACAACTACACTTGGGCACATTGAAGTACAGATACCAAAAAAATTATTACGCTACGTAAAATAACGTTAACAATACAGATGTGCAAATCAGCTTCGAAGTCCGTTGAAACACTATCAACTGCAACAAGATTTCAAATTTAAGGAAACAAAACGCTGAGCCGATCAGTGTCAGATGATCAGATTTTTTAACTCCTGCCCAAGATGTAAATATTCTTTATAAATTTTCCGTGAAGATGATTATTAGCTTGTACAGACATTCTAACTGACGGGTGAGTGCAATATTTGAATATATATTTTGCACTGAATCCCCTGGTCAGTGAGAGCTTTTATTCACTCCCTAGTATCAGCAAGTGCGTCAGGAAATAGCTCATCTGAAGTTTCAGTTAAATTTTTTAGAAAAGATTGAATTCTAAAAGCGACAAACAGGTTTAATATTTATTGTCCGCTTTGGCCAAGGATATATAGCTGTAGAGGCAAATAAGTTACTTTGCGGAAGTTAGCATCCTTCTTGCAGATCCCAATGACCGACTGAACAAATCAGCTTTCAACTTACAGATGTAAAATTGGAAATTGAGTACTATATATGGTAAGCAATATGTGTATCTTAACATGTGTTTACGCAAACCCATTTACTGGATTCACGTTGTTGAAGATGTTTCCGTGCCAAATAATGGTATACACCTGCAACAGCACCATAACTTAATCGTCGACGCGTGCAAATGGCGGTTATTAGATGACAATGCATAATTATCTGTTTGTAATACCTTTTTTCCCAATTGTAGGTTTTCCCCAGTTACTGTTAAGCATGTAGTGGACCTATCTTATCAGCGAATAATTGTAAAGTACCCCTTTCATGACTGTAGGTAACCCTCGTTCTATTGATATAACAAACAAGACTAGTAGGTAATAGGTCTTTATTTAGATCGCGTAGCAGTAACGGAGGATCGTGGGATTACCTGTTCAAACACTTAACGTTTTTCAGCATTCAGTATAAGATAACAGGAAATATAATGCCTATACAAAACAAGGAAGTGACTGAATGATTCGGCTCTATTGTATTGACATATACTCAGTTGTTAGACGTCAACTCTTAACTAATCAGTCTAAGCTATTTCATTAGCTTCCTTTACAGTCGACTTCCATACAAACGTCCGTTCGATTAATCTATCAATCAAGAACACCTAATTTTTTCCGCAGCCCAAGGTAGTATTACCAACTCGCTCAGGGTTTCCAATGGATGGCAACTAACTCCGTCAGCAATCGATGATGGTCTGTAGATGTCGATTCATTTACTAACTTGTTATCTTATTTTGTAGCATTTAATTTCTTCCACAACTATCGCTGACGGTTTGCTACGTGCCATCTGTATGGTAATCAGAGCTTGCCACTACACCCCGAACTATACCAAACGCGAACAAAGTTGCAGTGTATAACCAGTAATGTTACGTATCACATCTCAAAATCGCGTCAACTGTCTCCGAAAAAGCTAGGACTGGCTGGAAACGAACTTTATTACATCATAGACTTAGGGACCAATCGGCCATCGAAAAGCCCAAGGACATCCTCCATGCATGTGTTAAACAAAAAAGGCAGCAATGATTGGCATCCAACAGGTGACTATCGATGACTGAGTGATCAATGCTGACTAGTGTCGGAGACGGATGGTGGAAAGTTAGGGGCGGCCAAACCCAAACGTGACGTCAGTGCTTGAAGTCACTAACTTCTGGTCTGAGCCATTTTGGTTGACGCAGACTACTTGGTTGGGGTCTATGTGACTATCGTAACCAATGGTTGGAGACCATGGGTTACATGGTTCAAAATCGACCAGAATGGTGTACGTTTATAAACTTTGTTTTCCTTCAATCCGTGAGATTAAAATTTCTTTATACCTTTCTTTCTACCAACTGGTTATTTCTTCCTGTACTATATCCCTGTACATAATGTTTCTTTTACATATTACTACCACTGAACTACTTCTGAGAATTCGGTACTCCTGATTTCGTGCTGGTGACTTAAGGCAACTTCACCCGATACATATATGGGGCTGAATTTTAAAACCATTCATGACTGTTTCCCGATGACTCACACTCACGAACTGACATCTACCTTGAAATGCATAACAGATTTGTCGACAGCCGATTTGGCTAAAGCGTACAACCGAATTCTCAATGTTGCTGAAATCATTCCCAAAACCGCAATCACCACTCCGTACTGACCATACAGCTCTCGGTTTAACAAATGGTGCACGGCATTTCGAGAGATTCATCGATTTCAAAGTTTAATGAAAAAAAGCGTTATAAATCCTGATAATCTGTGACCTTTTCAAACACCATATCATCTACTTTTAGTTTCGACTTTCAGTTTGTTTTAATTTTGTGCTTATGTTATTCGTAATTGTTGTCTATTGCTTTCCTCACTAATTATCCCTCGTTCTTTTTCTAGTTTTCCTCACTCACGCTACTCTGTAAGCACTTCTGATAGCCAAATGGAAATTTTATCTCTCTCCAGCTAGTAAAATTAATATTCTCACGACAATCTCACACTGCTCCTATTTAAATACACTTCTCCACTCATTCTTTATTGTCTTCGTTCTTATTTATATTCATAATTTTGCACTTGGAATGTTTCGGTTTTAGGAACCCTCAGTTCTGTCCTATCTAGGTAATATTTGAATTGTCTCGTTTGTTAATCATACACCCGTTGTAACGTGATGCTATTATATTTACAAATAATCATTAGGATAGTCACACAGACAAATATATTTGGGGAAGATAACGAGACATTTTAACCAATTCTCTAAGTGTTCAGAAGAGCGTATCCCAGTGAATCAGAAGATATGTCAGTGTTTCGCACTCAGAAAAAAGAATTTACTGGATTTGTTGGATCTATCAAGTCTTCCGATCACTGTTCCTAATGCCGAGGTGAGCCAAATCTTAATAGAAGAAAAGCTTGTGACCATAGTAGTTATCTTTTCTGAAACTGCGAACCTAGTGGTAAGCAAAGTGCACAGAAACAAAGAACAAATGTTATGGTCAGTCAATGTGAGTTGGTTTTCCAAAAACCTAAGGGGATTTACTTTACTTTTAAAAGACTATAAAAATGATGGTTTCGCCACCTTGGAAGGCAAAAACTTCATAAACTGTAGTATTAAAAACCTAACTTTATTTATTCAACAAGTTTCAAGTAAAGGATTGGACATAAGTAAGTGCTTTAAGTGACGTCAGTCTTCAGAATGCCATCAATTATCATTACATCACTTCTAAATTTCTGAAACTCTGGCAGCTGCCTGGTTTTTAGCAGTTGAAACCTTGACATTACGGACTCGTTTGTGTTACTTTTTGTCAGATTTTATTTGAAAACACATATACTTTTCAAATGACGTATACGGGGCTATACATACATATTCACAGAACGGCTTAATAAATCACTCATCAAGCAGTTCTAACATGCTTTCCATAGTTGTCGATTTCAATTCGACCCGAAGGGCACTTATTCCAGGAAAAACGTAAAATTCTTTAACCTCGTATGGTCGTGGACGGAACACACACACGGAACAACACTTAAACAACATGTACAATCATTTTGTGGTAAATGTACAGACTGTAAAACTTAACAAAGTAAATGCAAATAATATCGAAAGCTATTCACAAAATAGGTTAGTCATCCTTATTTCCACAATTTCAGTACAGAAAACTGAGCTACTACAGCTCATGCGAATAAGCGACTTCACTTAGATGAACGTTGGTGGATGATTAAGGCGAATTCTTCAACATCAAGAAGCGAGATGAAAAATAACACACCCTGCACGAATTCGTATGAAAATATTTTTAATAAATTGACACGCTGTTTTACCCTACTGCACAAGGCCATTTTTCATCAGCGGGGTTTGGATTTCAATGATGAAATGAGAGATAGGTTGCTTGTATTGTTATTATTAGGAGTAGGGGTTATCAAAGTATGTAAGTTTAACGTTAGTTGATAATTTGAAAACCCTGTCAGACGAGGAGTACGATGAGGAAGAAAAAGATGAACGTGACCCTATGGAACTAATTAAACATAAGCATAGTAAAAGGGATTTGGATTCTGTTGAAAAAACTGTCTCAAGCCCAGTACCAATTGAAGAAGAAACAATTGAAGCAACATCCAGGGGCCTTTCACCTAGACTTCGGGTTAAGTGCAAAGATATCAAAGACGAATGTTCTTGCAAGTGAGTAAGGTAGTAAACACTATCACAGTCTAGACGACTTTTGTGTTTTGGCCCAAATAGCTGTGAGCGGATAAACAGTTATCCAACCGAAGTACTCCCACGCAATGCCACGGAATTTGTGTGGTTACATCGCTGTCGCCAAACATATTTAATGGGACAGAATTTGTGCGAATGCAAGCGACTATTATTCCATAAGGAGGATGTCAAGTGGCTGACTCCAGAGTCTACAAGCTTGTCTTTATTACAGCTTTGATAACATCCAGCCTGTATGTACAGAGTTTGGGCTTACATACTTTATGCATTTATCTGAGTTTAAAATCCTGTGTTTACTTTCTTAATAATTTAACTTTTAGTAAAGAGACTTGCATTGATGGTGTAAAAACTTTAGTTTTTATCAGTATAGTTATCTTCAAAATTCTTTCTAGTCTATTTCAGTTATTTCAGTCGTCTATTTGATTGACTGAGAAGTTTATGACCAGATTATTTGAATTGTACTTTACAAATACATCAAGTATCTAAAACCAATTTTATCTTTTTATTACAATTGGGACTCATGAAGTGGACTAAATTTTTCAGTGTCTACTCTTCATTATGTTTTGTACAGGAATGGATATGATATCCCTGTCAAGAAAGGTGGCTATAATTACAGGTAACTGTGGTATTTTAATGCTGCATCTGCTAGCGAAAAGCTTTCCTTAAAACTAATGGGCTAAGCACTTGTTACAGTATTACGGAACTTTATGTTACGATAAGACTTGTTGCTATTTATGACATTCCGACTCCCCCATCTTTCTGTGTTGTACCATATTATCTGTAGTAACAAAACACCTACCGTCATCCGTGCTCATCTTTTGTTTGGACTCACTAAAGTCCTTGGCAATCTCAACCCTGTAAGTGTGAAAATGTGGGGGTTTTCGGCACAACATTCAAGTCAAGTGAACATACTACTGCACAGCTCCGGACGGCTGTCAGTGTCTTCTGTAGAACATGGTGGTAGGCATTCCTAGAATGATATTTTATTTAATGTTAGTATTTATCCCATGTTTTACTTGGACTTTTGTAGCTTCCTTCCTCTGCTCTTTCTGGATGGAATTTAAGGATTACAAAAAGGTTGTGTGAAACCCTCAATATGTATTCGTCGCAATATTTGGTTTGTCAATAAACTTGTTAATGTGTAGTGCATAATTGAATCTTTTGAGGCACCACCTTTCCATCATGAAAGCTATAATACAGCACTTCGTGTTCTGAGAACGGGGTAGTTAGTTTGGATACTTCAGTTTACAGTGGTAAAACTACGTCGAAAGGTTAGTATGGTTTACAGACTATGATATCTGGGTGTTATACACTAAGCTATTCCATAAAATTGTACATGGTTGATGTGTTTGACGCAGTCTGACGTAATCACCTACAAACTTGATGACGTTAGATATTGAACACAACCTAAACACTACCAAGTTTTGCTGCTAGTCTTAGTACGTGAATGATGGGTTTTCATCGTACTTCTTAGAAAATTTCGGTTATTTATGGGTGTGTACGTACCCATCACCCATACAAATCTGTTCAGAAAATTACAAATATATGAGAACTAAAATTAGTCTCACTTTCTTTCCCATAGGAGCAAGTTCAGGAATCGGAAGAGCGACAGCTATTTTGTTTGCAAAACTGGGAGCGTGTGTTGCTTTGGTTGCTCGGGATAAGTCACGATTGGAAGAAACTCGACAAGCATGCATCCAAATATCTCACCCTGACGTTTATGAAAAACACAAAGAGCCTTTTTTGTGCATTGAGGCTGATTTGGCTGAACCATGTGAAGTTGAGAAAGCATATCGATTGGCAATAAATCACTTTCACCAACTTGATATATTGGTAATTTAACTCTTTAATCTGCCACTGATTTCTCACGTCATATTTACGTGGGTAAATAGTCATTTTATTTGTATTAACTACTTACTTGACGGACGTTTATTTATTCGGTCTTAAATGTTTGTGAAATATAGCCCTAAGAATAATCAGATGTGGATGAACAATTAATAGGCTGTCACTGCAGAATAGAGGAGCTCTGACATAATTCATTACCTGCCAATGGTATACGTTATTCTATTCATTGTATTTACCAGTATTTAGATTGTAAGAACTTCTAAAGCCGGAAATTAGTCTCTAGAAATATATATAAGATGACCATAATTTCCTGATCCTCATCTTCCATAATTTTGTCATTATCTTAATTATTTATTTGAAACTATATTTACTAAAACCATCGACTCCAAATAAAATGGATTCCAGTTTGTACTACCACACTTTGAGTTGGTAAATAAGAAGTTCTAACGGGATGTTCACTAACCAATAGTTTTTGCCAAATCACTCCATCATATATTAGAATAAAAAATTTTAAGAATTACAATCATTAAGTGTCAAGAAAATGTCAAATGCCAGTCTGTTACATTATAAGTCAACTATTTCACCCCATTATCTCATTTTTTTAACTCACTGGGTAAATTGAAGTCAATCATAGAGTGTTATAATTAAAAATAAATGATCTCATGAGTGATTTAGTTAATGAGGATGTTGTAAAACGATTGTTTTTGAGTTTCCAAAACTATCATATCCATGATATGAATTACGTATGTCGGAAGTATATTTCAGTCCCAAGACTGATTTACCATATTTCACGTATTTCAGTCAGCTACAACGTAGGACTAGGCACATATATGCATCGTTCCAAGTTGTCACACCTCGTTAGCACAACCTGATGAACACTAAATTCGCAAAAGTAGTTAATTCAATGGTAGTAATATATACAAGAAACATGTATAGGGATATAGTACAGGAAGAAATAATCAGTTAGTAGGAAACAAAGGGTGTGTAAACGTACACCATTGTGATAGATTTTGAACCATGTAACCCATAGTCTCCAACCACTGGTTACGCTAGTCACACAGACCCCAACCAAGTAGTCTGCGTCAAACAACATGGCTCAGACCAGAAGTTAGTGACTGAAAGCACTGACGTCACCTTTTGGTTTGGCCGCCCCCAACTTTCTACCATCCGTCTCCGACACTAGTCAGCATTGCGCGTCGTGGTAATAGGTGTTCAGATATACGTAGCACGTGGCCCAACCATCTCAGTCGATGAAAATTCACAACCTCATCGACTGACTTACGATCATTGCTTAATACCCTGCGTCTCGTTTTCGCCATGGGTGACGCAAGTTGGCAAAAGCCAAACAAGCTTTTTGAATCGTACAGATTTCGTCAGACACCAACCCATTAGGGCTGATCAGATTCCCAAGGTATGTGGAGTTGTCTACGCGTTCGACTACTTCACTTCCTATCCTTAGTTCAGTTGTTGACTGAAGCAGGCCATTCCTGAAGCAACAATTTGCATGTATAGTGGGAGAAATGCATTCCAAACATTCTGGCATTGTTGCTCAGTGCTACCAAAATACTCTGCATTTTATCAGCGTCTTCACTAAACAGGACTATATCACCTGCGTATTCTAAGTCGATAAGTGGACCTCCTGGTAGGACACCAATGCCCGGAAATTCAGGTGAGAGAGCTATTTCCAGTAGCAGGTCTGTGATGAAGGTGAACAAAAACGGAGAAAGTGGACAGCCTTGACGGACACCACTTGAGGTTGCAAAAGCAGATGATAGTTCGCCATAAGCTCTGACTTGACTGGTAGTATTCAAATAAAGAGCCTTTATAAGGTTTATTTACTTCTGAGGCACACCTTTCAATGACAGACACTGACACAAGACCTCTTGGTCTACAGTCAAATGGTGCTTTTAAGTTAAGAAGAACTATGATTGTCGGATGCCGATGAGTATGCCTGCTGACTTGTAGACTTCAGTCACATGGTTCTGAAGTCTACTCGAATTCTATCACCTATGGAACTAAATACGTGCTTGGCACTGGAAGATGTAGTACCAGCGTTCTAACGCATCATGAACTTGAAACACAGCAGGAAAGTAATTATAAACAGGAAATGTAAATTCAATGAATGTCTTTGACCCGTAATCAAAGCAACAATAGAGATTTCAAAGTACCACCGTTTGATTACGTAAAACCAAGTGAAGACTTTTTTGCAAACTATCAAGTATTCCGGTTACTTGATTGACAAGGTGGTCCTGGTGTCGATTTTGATAATTATCAACACAACTAAGCAAATGCCTGTTACATAAAATCTTGGCACTTAACGTTCATTCCTTAGTATGATCAGTTTCTACAGTGAAATTGGTAAGTCCTGATTACGTATACTTCTTAAATAGCGATAAAATTATTAAAGTTGTAAGGCTCTGTCATAAGTGTGTGTAGTCATTAGAACTACTTATAACAGCAAAACACTGACTATGATCAGTCCCAACAGAACGTCGATTACACTTTCAAGTTTATGTGTTGATATTTCGTAAATTCTCAACGCCTAAAATATATGCACAGTCAAATTAACTATTGTCTTATCTATATTTTACGTATAAAGATTGACTAAAGTTTAGTAAATCCCATGACATATTTCCAGGAATGAATTTAAGTTTTTATCAATTGAGCGGCCACACATTGTTTTCAACAGGTCAGTCCTTTTTCAAACAAATGATAAACTGTGATTGTTGGAGTTGAGCCGTTTCAGGAGTGAAACAGTTGCCCACCACAAACATTAGAGCTATCATTTTAAGTTGGGAATGTCGATCATTGGATTCCAACATAGTAGTTTTCATATTTTGTATTAAGGTTCTGGTTATAAACCGTTGAGGAGCCTCTCACTAATATGAAACAACTGTCTTGTGCTACTATGGTTTACAATGTTTCCCAAGGTGATATAAATCCTCAGCAAAAAACCTTGAAATTTTCTTGTCTGTTATCAGGTTAATTCCTAGCGACCTTTATCTGTTTGCGATTCTGTTACAAGATAACATTTTTAAACAAATATTTCAGGTAAATAACGCAGGGTGTATGATAAGAGATACTGTCGAAAGCTTTAATGCTACTGAATATGAACACATGATGAAAGTGAATGTAACTGCTGCGATTACGTTAACTAATTTGGCTATCCCAGATCTTGCTGCTTCCAAAGGTTCCATCGTCAATGTATCTAGTGTCTGTGGAAAACGTTCAGTGAGTTCAAAATAGTTGCTTTGATGTTGTCCAGTCTATAATCTTTTGTTTGTTATTGCATGTAATAATCTATTCATTTCATTACCATAACAGTCAATCACAGTTAATCAACATGAAGCCTCGCAAAAATATGGATCAGTCAAAGTTATTTGTTATTACCGCATCAACATAGTGAGATGATATAAACAATGTAATCGATTCTGACCTATGTTATCTGACGTCTCTGACTACCGGTCCAGGTTATCCCGTGAATCCCTACTAGGTACCCGTCATCTAACAACACGTCATATTCCAACCATATAGATTGATGACTTGTATGGGTTTGATCATCCCTAATTTTTATTCAACCCATTCCTGCTATATTTAAAATTGCACATTCAAGTAGGTAGTGGTTAGGTGTACGTAACTTACATCCCATTAATCCTATTAGATAAATATTACACCTGTATATAATCAATACATCACGTGAATTCCTTTATTACCAATCGAAATACTAGAAGACGAAAGAAGTAGTTACGATTTTTTTTATGATTTTGATCCACTACATGTATAAGTGAAATGCAAAACTACAGTTAGACAGTTTGCGGATTTCAGTAAGCATTAAACAAAGACTTTTGATATAAAACTAAATCACGGTATTATTATAAAATGACTTGATCTGAATGGTTAAAGCCATAACGATAACTGGTGAGTGAAGAGTGGGCTTACAATTAGAAATGTGTGATAATCCCAAAAAGTTAAATTAATACCTCTAAAAAACACGTCGACTCATTTATTGAAGAGCGACTACCTAGGTCTTATACTTTTCCTTTCTTATTTCTCAAACATTAGATTTGGAGGTTTAATTAAATGACACATACCGCTTTACAGTTTAATATTTTAGTGTTATCATCGATTACTTAAAAACTACTTTATTAGTTAGTAAGTTACAGTTTTATTCAAATAAAATTACCCATAATTATTAAAAATTAATTTATTGCTATCAAGTTATGTACTTCACAAGGCAGGTGTTATCGTTATGACTTTTTCTAGTGTTCAAAAATTACATGGAGATTTTATTGAAGTGTGGTTTGATGGCATTAAATTATGTTTTATGACAATATTTAATATTAAATTTGCATTTCTGTTTCTTTTGCTTACAGTTTCCTGGAGTAATGTCTTATTGCATTAGCAAAGCAGCGTTGGATCAATTCACTAGATGCACTGCATTAGGTAAATAAAGCTAACTCTTGTGCGAAATTCCTGATAAAATAAAACAGACCTTTAAATAGATATAAACAGCGTTGAATAGTGAAAACTGTCTGTTTTACTATGAGTATAACATTGATTGGTTGTTTGTATATTGCTGTATAAAATGCACATTTCAATAGGTAAATACTAGTCACTTTTTCATTAACTCGTGCAAGTGACAAATATTACATGGTATGTTATTCATCAGTTTGTTTTAATTCTTATACTTTTCTAACAATACAATACGTCAGACTGAGATTCTAAAAATACATATATTTACAGTTTGCGTAATACTTTCAAATAAGCATTTTCGGTTTTAGATTGTATTTATAAATTGCACTCAAAGTTTTGCGCATGACCATTTATTAGTTTTTCTGGCTTTCTCGATGTGTTTTAATTTATGTAGTTTACTACCTGAATTGTCAGGTTGCACTGACGTTAATGTAAACTATAAAACTACTGAATTAGACATCTAATTTATTGCTAAGTTACTGAAATGCAATAAAATTGGCTTGAATTTAAATCCAGATACTGTCATTCGAATACTTATGAGTATCTTATTAACCAGACATTGTGTACTTAAATATTTTAGCTTCTCTCCATTTTGTATAAAGAAGGAAGAATTTGAAGCGCGACATTTTAATAGTATTTCACTTAGCTAATATATATTATTTTCTTTACTTTCTTTAGATTTAGCTCCAAAAGGAATCCGAGTAAATAGTGTCAAGTAAGCAGTGTCATTCTTGCTACTTTGTGACTAAGTTTTTGAAATCAGCAGAGGTGACAAATGAAATAAGATGAAAAAAAATAAACTTCTCAAAGTCATGATTTGTGTTTTGGCTGTACTACATGTAACCGGTGATTTTTTGAAGGTTATCTACTCTAAGAATCTTTCTATTAAAGCACCTTAGGAACTGTTATTGCTTGTGCGATCTGTAGATAAAAGCATTCTCACTATCGCAGTGTGATTCCAAAGACCGCATGTGGTTTGTTTCTTTTATCTACTTTTGATACCGTGCAGTCACTGTCATAACTACATAAATAGGCGAAGGATATTCCAAAACACGACCCTCAGAATTCGAGAACCGATATACACTTTTTGAGCCGTAATAGATATGAGGAGCGCTCAACGAAAGGAAAAAGCCTAACTGATCCATCTCTAACCCTAACTAGAAGTGGCCTGTTCGGAGCGATAAAATAATGAACTGTCATCACTTTGGTTTGAGATTGTTCATGTAGATTAACTTCATGCAAGTACGTAAGCATGCTTGACCAATCACAACACATTTTTTGTGATTGAAATGTTTCATGAGACTGTTGTATTTTTATTCATCAAAAAGATTAACTTTATTAAATCATGACGCATTTCGTCCTGGTGTTTCTTCTATCATTAGTGACAAGATCATGTCTGTCTGATATGCAGTTCTTTTTAATTAATGCACTGTTGTAGACACTTTCATCCAAACAATAATGTGGTTCGATTCAACCGGGACCAACATTTTTACTACTATTCCGACATCGAACACATTTTTGTGTAGGCGTTATGAATGGTTCATATTTCATGCTGAAATACACTGTTTATTTTGTATAAGCTATATGAGTCAGTTGATGGTTGCATGTAAAGCAAATGTTAGTTTACTGATAAGTAGTGCTGTTATAAACGACCAAGTAAATTAGTTTGTTACAATCAATTATTTCAGTTTGTTTTCTTATACTGCAAACAGTTATGTGTAATTGTTATGATGAATAGTTAATAGTAATATCAGTGACTTTGTTCTTAGAAAGATTACATATGAAAAGGCCTTTATCAATCGGAAAACCCGTCAAAATTTTATAATGGACGGTTTTGCTGATTGGGAGTTTATGGAAGTACATCAATCTTTATTTCACCTTCAATATTAATAAACGATGCATCTGATTCCCGTAAACGATTAATTAAAACATGCAGTTATTGATATTCGTCACGAAACTATGTTGGCCCAAAATCGTCGATTACACTGTTTTATTCACCATGGTTCACTTGTTACATATAATTAGTGTTTGTGATTACTCCTTATTTGTTCTCGATAATCATTTGCATACTTAAGTTCACTAAATGTTCATTGACCCTCTTAAATTCTACAGCCCAGCAGTTATTGTCACTGAACTGCATCGTCGATCTGGAATGTCTGAAAATGACTATGAGAAGTTTCTTTCAAGAGCCAATGAAACACATGCTCTCGGACGAACCGGAACTGTGGAAGAAGTGGCTCAAGCAATAGCTTTCCTTTCGAGTCCTGCTTCTTCCTTCACTACTGGTAATTTGCTAATGGTTGATGGTGGTCGATCTATCATGTGTCCACGCTAATTAACTTTATTTTTCCAAATATTACATGCTATTTCTTAAATAAAATGGGTCACTAACTTTAATTTTTTTTCACTGGAGGTGTATTGTCTTCCTTGTGACTCATCACAGGTTGAGCATTGTAGAGGTAGGGCAATATTTCAGTGGTTAAGGTGTTTGAGTTTCAACTTTAAATCATAGACTCCAACCTCGCTCCACTAAGGTTTGGACAACCGGGCTGTATTCCTACCCCTTCCACTTTGAAACGAAGCCAAGCACATGGATCTGTACGTGGTAAATTGGCTAATCGGATTTTTGCTCACAGATTGAATGTTGACTTACACAGAAGATCAAGTAATCTCTCTATATAGGTAGATAGTTATGCATAACGGTAATTCGGATCAACATAAATAGTTTTCATTGTCTGATGCGATTGAACAACTACATTTTTTTTTACTTTGAAGGCTTAACAATTAACCTTATTCCATAACCATACTTATATACTCAGTTACTCATGTTACCCATCATGGAGGAATATAGAACATCCACCGGAAGTCTTCATTCAACTATGTCCTTAAGAATCCTTTCCAGTTGTTTCTAGTAGATATTCACTCTTTTGATGTGTGTTTCTAATTATCAACATAGTGTGTTCTTTTGTCTTCCATTATTCCTCTTCTCTTCACTATGCCAATTTAGCACCTACTTCAAGATGCAGTTTGATGATCTCTGTAATGTACGCCCTATCCACTTCCAACGTATTTTTCTAATTTCCTCTCCAACTACAAACTGGTTTGTTCTTTCACACAGTATCCTGTTACTCATAGTATCCGATCAAAGGACATTCAGTACCTTATATAGATAATTGTTTAGAAATGCTTGTACCATTAATTAAAACATGCAGTTATTGATATTCGTCACGAAACTATGTTGGCCCAAAATCGTCGATTACACTGTTTTATTCACCATGGTTCACTTGTTACATATAATTAGTGTTTGTGATTACTCCTTATTTGTTCTCGATAATCATTTGCATACTTAAGTTCACTAAATGTTCATTGACCCTCTTAAATTCTACAGCCCAGCAGTTATTGTCACTGAATAGTTTTCATTGTCTGATGCGATTGAACAACTACATATATTGTAAATTGAAATTCGCATGACTAAAAAAATTTTTAGCAACGGTGGAGAATAGTTTTCAGAAAGTATTGCATAGTGTTGTAAAATTCATTTGTATTCACCCGAATTTTTCATATAATGCTAGTGTGAATGCGCATACATGTGCAATTAGTTCCGATAAAAAACCCAGAATCAAAGAACTAAACACTGATCCAAATATGGGAAAACCTTGCATCATGAATTTTGATGTTATCGCTAGTTTTAGCATCGTAAAGATCGCCCAAGAGAGATCAGATTATTTAAATTTGTTGGGACAACAAAGCGTATCGGTGTAGATGGAAGCGAATGTCTGCAACATTCCAAAGAGGTGTGGGTGTTTACTTGAGGATCATTATGGTATAATGTGTTTATCTGGGTAAGCAATTATTAATAGTATCGTTATTACTATTATCATCGTCATCAAAAAACCTATTAGAAATTTCCCCTTCAAAATATACTAAAACAGTCTAACGTTCACACTGATTGAAAAGTACCAGATACACAGAAAAATTGATAGTAGGCAAAGAAACGAAAAATTGTCTCGTGGTTGCTACATTTCGCAACAGCATACATGAAAAAAGAAAAGTGATTTAGTGAATGATTTGTTCAAAGTTTCTACTGGAGACTGATATGTGGTGGATAATCGTTTCGCTCTCGAACCAGATGCAAGGGTAAATCAGATTTGACAAAACGAAGTTTCTCCTCGATGTGCTCAAAAGTTGTTTTCTTCCTAGTTTTTGTTGAATAGAGCAATGGAGTTACTAATAGTTGATATGTATCATCAGGTTTTCATATGCATACAAAATGCATAAAACTAAGATGATTGCAAACTTCTGTTTTACTGTTGGTTAAGTATTAGTGAATCACACTGTATCTAGTAGGTCGTTTGAAATGTAACAACGTGATACAACTGGCATGATAGCATTGTTCAACAATTATTGTCTGTGTATACAGAAACCAATTTTTAAAATTGAAAACACGTAGAGGTATGCTGAGGTGGTCTCATAATAATTTGCAGTAGCCAAAAGTTCTGTATACGGTTTTTAAAAATAAGCTATTGATACCTATTATAACATAGAAATTTCCTCTAAATCATAATCCATTAAAATGTCTACACAGATCATTTTTTCTCTCATCATAATTGCACTCGAACCACTAGGTGTGTAAGAAAACCAGTTTTCTTTAAAAAAATATGAATTATTTAATGAGGGAAAGTGGGAAGTAGATATGTATTGGTAATAAAATCTAAGACGTGTCATTTAAAAGTTGAGTGAATATGATCTTCAAGGTATTGTTCTTATGTTATAAAAATGTTTTTAATTTAGAATTCCACTGTCTTAGGTCCTCCACTGTAACCGGCCCTTGCAATAATGTCCTGAAATGAAAAAGAGGAATGTTTTAAAACTAATCAATCAAAATATGTATAGAGGTTGAAAAATTATTACGTTATTACAAATTTCCAAATGCTCAATGATTTTTTACGGTTAATTAAGTTTGACAACCAAGATATCTGTTGCGAGTGAATGACTATAGTCAATTATCAGTATCCAGATGCTATTGACAGTTGTAATTAGAAGTTTACTGAAAATTATTCCCTGTGGTTCCTTTATACCTGACAAAAGAATTCTCTATCAGAACGTAAAAAGACTGCGGTTTAAGGACCGCCTACACAAACCTAACGATGGACACAAGTAGGTTATCTCAATCGTCGTGCATATGTGAAGTGTGACAGATTGTACGAAGATATGCGCGTGTCGCAGGAAGAAACTGTAGTTAGTGGGAATTATCAAGATATCCACCAGTTAATATAGTGACGTTATAGAAAATAAGTTTGATAAGTCTCCTATCGTAATCGTCCGATGATTTCTGCAAATTAGTAACCAGCAATGTGCCAACTTATCCCCATTTTTTTAATGTTAAACCATATCATCAAATGAACAGACCAATGAGTTTTTTAAATGGCTGCTATCAGACAGTCGATTCTATGTCGGAGCTGTCAATGCTACTAACTTGTAACTGTTTGGGTGCAATAGAATCAGTGAGTAAGCGATATTCATAGTAATGAGTGTAATATGTTATACACTTGCTGTATTTGCTTACACCAAAATTACTTCGACGCTTAAGATGAGTGCAAAAGTATGAAGAAAATGACTGAATGTGGAAGGTGCCAGTAACCAGAGAATGAACAAAATGCCCCAATTCACAATGCCGTAGATGTATTGAACCGTTATTTTGATTGAAATTTAGCTATGTAATATAAATGATTGGTCATTTCGCGTTTAATTTTCAATTTCTAAGCTAATAACACACGATGATTGTTTTCGATACCGAGAAGGTAGTCGTAGTCGATGCAATTTAACATTATTGAGGTCTTCTTGTTATGAAAAATAAGACAATGTGTATATTTTTATTGAATTCGGTTTTTCATTGATTATCCTGGAGTATCTCATAAATCCATTAGTATACCTATGATAAACAAATGTCATCTACGGTGTCAGACCAATAGAGGGAAGAAAACCTGATAATTTTTTGATAATTTAGAAAGACTTCTCGTTACATTGTTTGAGAAAGTTTTTCTTTTGATAAATAAGAAGCAAACATACAATTCTTACCTCAGGCATGCAAACGTTGCAGTGGTTTTTTCGAACTCCTTCGCTTTGGTTAAACCAAGTCGGATAACCTAAGGTGGAAAGATAAAGTCGCTGTGACAAACAAACATTTAATAGTTTAATAACAATATGAGGCCAGAAAATCTGTTGGTGGGCATGTGGTTTTACAGAGGAAACTTGTGTGATACATCTTATGATCAACAGCATGATGAACTTTAAAAAATCAACCTTAAAATTCTGCTTTTGCATTATCTACCTAACTTTTCCTCATTAAATAAGTCACTTCACGTATACATATACTTCGACTGAAGTAACAATATTCACATGTTTAGGACGTTCTGACATATATCGAGACTGACTGCATCATAATAAAAATGATGTAAGGTGAATTATTCAGTAGGGGATTTAAAAAGTAGAAGTACTTAAGATAGTTTAATCGCCATTCAAGTGGGTACAGATATGTACACAGTGAACTTTTGAGGTAAACTACAAATATCATTATTAATATTTCTCACGAAACGTAGTGTTTAACTACATGGTTATTTAGATGTCATATTTGCTATTAGGTTGTAATGCAATCTTTGGGTAATAAGGTCTCAATTAAAAGATAAACTATACTAAAGATTTTATCAGTTACACATGACGGTACATGGATTAAGATTACTATGTGAAATCCCGTGAAAAAATGTCTGGTCGCAAAGAAACGAACAGTTTATGCACATATAAAAAAATTATTGTTAAAACAATATATAATTTATTCATGAAACTCTAACCTTATCAGGTAGCATAGCTAAACGAGCTGCATTGAAGCCATAACTTTTTGGACATGCACCAGGAATAAATTTATACAAAAATGTGATATTTTCTAAATCATTCGTTGAATCTGATTCTGCTTCAACCATACAAGACTTTTTTATTTACGTATACAAGTAGAAAATAAACAATTATTAGATACAAGAAATTCTTATGATGATGATTTAATAAGAAACATTTTGAGTACATAATGCTCGGGAAAATACACTCACTCCCAAGACTTTTTCAATCTTAAGCATTTATAATACAGATAGGAAATTTCTTGAAAGAAATCCTAACTTGGGAATGTAATTTGAACAAGTAAAAACTTTCCTGCATAACAAATTAAAAGGAAGTAAAAAAAAGGGGAATATATCTGAACGGATTCGATTATTCCAGTATGATATACCGAACAATAGGACATAATAAACAAAATTGCACTGGAACGAGAATGCCGTAGGACATAGAACAACTAATTAAAAGCATAAGGTGTTCCAGATCTAGAGAATGGTGACGAATATATTTATCTCTCGTTATGTAATAGATTTCAAGACCCACAAGAACCTCACTAATACTCCACACTGCTATCTCACGTAGTTCAGGTAAATAGTCAGTGGCTTTGTGAACTGGTGCTTTATTTTATTCCGGACATCTTGCAGTAATTTAACATTCATTCTTAAGCAAGTAATACATGTGTCAAAGATGGTCGACATTGACATCAGTAAAACACCTCGATAACTAAATAGGAATTAGATATTTTTGAAGTTCAAGGATAAATCACAGTGCGTAGAAACAACTGAAATGTTGCTACAATCAACCAAAAAGATGTTACGTGCATATATGAATATTTATAATCAATCACATTAACATGCTTACCATGTGACCCAGGCCAATGCATAGATGGTTCATATCTTCATCGGAAGTAGATGGGTCTGTGTTAGCAACTTGATCTACCAAGCTGTGATAGTGCGTTGAAAACAGAGTCCTAGGGCCAGAGCCATCGAAAAATCTTCCATTTGGTTTAGCTAAGTAAGAGACAACTGCACCTGCTAGGGCTGATCCGTCGTGAGTGGAAGTTCCACGACCTAATTCATCCATCAAAACAAGACTATGAGGAGTGATATGATGTAAAATAGATGCTGTCTCTGATAACTCCACCAAAAACGTACTTTCACCTGAAAGCATTCTGTCACTTGCACCAAGGCGTGAAAATATCCGATCCACAGGAGTTAGTTTGCATGACTTGGCCGGAATGCGACAACCCTAATAAAATATTTGAAACAATTAAAAAGAATAATTTAGATCAGAATCTTGTCAACATTTACAAAGAAAATATGGGACATGCAAATTATAATGTACGAAGTAGTGAAACTTCATCAGTTGAGATGGCTGGGACACGTGTTACGTATGCCCAACGACCGACTGCCTCGATGTGCGATGTTCAGTGGTATAGGAGTAGGTTGGAAGAAAGCTAGGGGCGGCCAAACCAAAACATGGCACAAGTCCATGAAGTCACTGACAAGTGAACTGAGTCATGTTGGTAGGTGTAGACTACCTGGTTGGGGACCGCGAGATGATAGCAACCGATGGTTAGAGACCCTGAATGACATGGCTCAAAATCGTTTGCAATGGCGCAGGTGCATACACTCTTTGTGTTCTCCCAAATTTTGATCTCCTTATTCCTCTTTGTCTCTTTTTTTTCTCCTCTCAAATTTATTTCACTGTATTATATTCTTTAAGTAACATCTCCAAACCCTAATCTTCCCGATTACTGCTTATACTCTTATTACCTCTACCACTACGGGATTTGAATCGACAACTGCATCTCTGTGCTAATGTGGTGTGGCAACTCGAACTGATGTACGTACGTACGAAGTTCTACGTTGTTACTGACTGATTTATTTATCCCATTCTGATTATTCCTCACGGAAATTTATGGAAAGAAAAGTGCGGTAATATAAAAATAATATCTAAAAATGGGATATTTATCATCATTAGTAAAAAGCAAACAATCCAAGAGGAGTTTGTTGAAACCAAAAACACAATATATAAGGCCACAAATCGGTCATGTTTTAATAGATATTTGAGATTAATATAAGATCTTTCACCTGGTATTTAAGAATATAATACACTTAACACTTAACAGTTCTAGACCTGGAACAGATGTGGATCAGAAGAAATTTCGAAAAGTAATCTACTGCCGCTACTGAAACTATTTTTAATGCAAATAAACGACTACAATTTTTGTTGCACTGATCTATATTTCTTGAGCTGTCTGATAAACGTTGCCTACAGTATTGGTAAATGTATATAGTATTTCGATAAAATAAAATCTACTGAAATACAAATTGAGGAGCAAATAGCTTAGTAAAACACAGATGAAATCAACAGCGAATGGTAAAGGATCGAAATAAAAGCGATACCAAAGATAGTGGAAAAGATTTAAAAAATTATGGTTTCAAGATGAATGTATAAAAACATATTAAAACTTAAATTCAAGAAGATACATAAAAAGTAAACGCTACCACACAAATTTGTCTGTTTCTGAGCTAAGTGGCGAAACGTACCCAAAGACTGAATAAAAGCATTGTACAGAACGCTTAAAATATATGTGAAATATTCATACATTTTACAAAGTGAATACTATAGCGTTGATATGAATTAGCAAACAAACATAAAAATATGTTTAGCTTTAGTTATATTAACAAAGAGATCCACACAAGTCTATTCATAGCAGTAACTAACATGTAGTTTGATGTAACTTACCAACACACAAATCATCAAAAATGAGCATGGTTTAAATTATATAAAGTTATCTAACCCATTTATCATATACATGTTTAAGTATTTGGTTTTCTGTTACACTTATTTTACCTAATGGTTATTAACATTGCCCACCAATACAGATATCAAAACAGAATTACATGAAACGAAATTCAAAAAATCTAACAATATTTATACAAACACCTTACCGAAAATTAATTCACCATTACAATAAATTCTAAGTGAAATGTAAAAATGCTAGGCTTTTTACAGCCTGATTAATACGGTGTCATTTTGCGGCACATAATTTAAATGATATAACATATATACACAAAAGAACTAGTCACAATACAACTCACTAAATGTGCTAGTATAACTAATAAAGCAGCTTGTCTCATCAAAGTTGATTTTCCACCCATATTTGGACCAGTAACAAGAATAACAGAAACATTGTTAAACGTATCACGTAACGTATGATGTTGTGTTGGTGAATATATCATCGATGATGTTGTACCAAGTTTTATATCATTTGGAATAATATCTCCACCCGAAAATGTATTTATTAGACAAGGATGAATTCCATCAACTATTTCCAGTAATGGCTATAAAAATGTATTTTTTAAATCCAAATTACACAACTATAATTTTAAAAAAATGTTATTCTTATAAATGGATAATATCAATTCAAATAATGTGGAATATATATATCATAGTTATTTTCTGAAGATTTAATACGAACACTGATTAGATATATACAAAACGATTAGTTTGACTCATTATCTATTGTAATATCTTTTAACGTCTATAAATTACAGAAGATTAATTATAAACATTTTACTTAATTTTGTATAAAAAATATCTTAGTTATCTAGATATTGAGATTGTTTGTGCAAATCATAGTCTTGAATTTTATGTATACAATCACTTGAGTTTTTGACTCTGAAGAATGTAGAAGAATACCAAAAGGAAGTTAGCCAGTTTTTTTTAGTGTTCTAAATAGTAGATCAGGGACCGGTGGGTAATTTCCTGTAGGCTACCAGTCTTTTGGCATATACAGTAGTCAATGTCAGCAGACTTCATATGAAAACCTGATAATTAACTAATTTGTTAACTTACAGGAAAAATTAACAGTGGTTCACAATTATCTTCACACTACATGATAGTAATTTCAAACATTTTACAAATAATGAACAAATATCGTACGTAATAGATGAAATCAAACATACTTTAGTAGATGAATTTAGATCAATAAATTCTGGAAGACACATCACATCAGAGGCATTTATACTGTACGAAGATAAAGCAATTAGACAGTCTAATTCAGCTAAACAAGACATAGCCATATGCCAATCGGTAAATCTAAGTATTAAAAATAACGGAAATAATCTGTCATGGATGGCTTCAAGATTTTAAATAAAGTATTTAATAAACAGTTGAAAGCTATATAAAAATGTAACAATAATTAAAGAGCGTAAGAGTTATCAATATTATCGTATCCATACCAAATAACATAAAATTAAACTTGGCTTCTACAAACAGAAAAATGTCCTAGATTTGTGGCCACACAGGTTAAACATTAGCTATTACTTTCATCCAGTGTGTACATGTAATGATCACATATAGATTGAGAATAAAGTCTTCGAAATATATTTTCATTGATTACTTTATGTTCTGAATGTTATAATAGCAACAGCGAAATAATTATCAAGCTGACGATCACAAATCGGTTGAATATTAACTTCCCCACTGTTTCAAATTGTATTTGAATCGAATGTAAAGATAACTTACGATTCACTAAACGATGAAAATATATGTTGCATTATCGACCGTAGACTAGCGTCCTTTCGTTCCTCAGCAGCAGTTAACTCGCTTAGCCATTCTTGGGTCTCTGAACAAGTATAACGTTTGACACCTTTTCGCTGTGAAGATAGCTGCCATGAGTTGGGAACACGAGATGCTAAAGATTCTGGGATTTCAATCTGATAACGATTGCGACCGGTTCCCCAATATGCAAGCTAAACATTTTAAACAAGAAACCAGATGCAATGAATAAATTAACAAAATAGTCGATTAAAAGATAAAATGATTATGAAAAAGAATATTGAACGAATAAACACTCCTGGTTAGTAACAGAACAGAAAAATAACATGGAAGGGAAACAGCTGTCGATATTATTAGGAAACAATGAAAATGAAACATTAACTCAATTACTGATCACATATAAAACTGTACTTGAAGGTTATCCGTAAATTGTATGGTAGATTACCACCTATTCATAAGGTGGTGTGAATAAATACATTGGTATGAAAACAGTTTAATTGTTATGGATCTCGTTTAGTAAACTTATTAATTAACTAGCACACTACTTACGCCTGTTACCCCTAATGTTGGAGCATAGGCCGCTCACCAGAACTCTCCATCCAACTCTATCCTGGACAATTCTTTCCAGTCGCTATTCGTCCTTCTCATGTCTGCTTCCGATTCCCGACGTAGTGTATTCTTTGGCCTTCTTCTTTTTCGTTTCCCTTCAAGATTCCAAGTGAGAGCTTACCTTTTGATGAACTTTGATGATTCCTTTAATAAATATTCTATCTAATTCCAGCACCTTTTCCTAATTTCTTCCACCGGAAGTTGGTTTGTTCTCTACCACAGCAGCCTATTGCTGATGGTTTACAGCAAACGGACACAGAGTATCCTGCGTTGACAACTGTTTATAAACACTTTTATATTTTTAACGATGGTTGTAGTAGTTCTCTAAGTTTCAGCTCCGTACAGTAGAACTGTCTTTATGTTAGTATTGATTGACAAGTTTTCTGAGTTCTAGGTGTTCTTCAACTGTAAGAATGCTGTCCTTGCTTTGCCAATCCGTTGCCTCCAAAGTGTTGAAGAAGTTTCTATAATGTTCTCCTATCCACACTGTCAAATGCTTTCTCATAGTCAATGGAGTTGATGTATAGTGACGAGTTCCATTCAATTGATTGTTCAACGATTATTCGTAGTGTCACGATTTCGTTTATGCATGACCGATCCTTATGTAATCCAGCTTGTTGATCTGGAAGTTGGGCATCTATTGAGTCTTCCATCCGGTTCAGCAACACCGTTGAAAACGTTTTCTGGTACTGACAGTAATTTGATGCCTCCGTGGTTCTCGCATTTGTTCACATCTCCTTCCTTTGGTATCTTGATAAGGTATCCTTCTTTCCAGTCCGTCGGCACTTGTTCTTCCTTCGAAATCTTGGATGGAACGTGAAGCATGCTTTCAGCCTCTTCTATTTCTGAAATCAGAAGCTTCAGCTGATATATTGTCAGGTCCTATTGCTTTCCCACACTTCATTTGTCTGAGGACCATCCTGATTTCTTCTACCGTTGGTGGAGTGATATCTATGGGAAGGCCTATGTGTGCTGCTTCAATGTGCGGTGGATTCAATGGAGCTGGTCTGTTTAAAGGTTCCTCGAAGTGTTCTACCCATATGTTCCTGTGTTCTTGAATTTCGGTGTTTGTCTTGCCTTCATTGTTCTTGACCAGTCTCTTTGGTTCATAAATTACCAACGTTGCATATGTGATAATTACTAGAATATAAAAAATTCTACTATCTGTATTACACTAGGTAGATTGCGAAAAACGCATGATGAAACCTATACTCCAAATAAACAATTTTCCATTGAGCATTAATTTGAATGAAAACGACTTTTGCTCGTGAATGTTCGACAGTCACTGAAAATGGACAGTATGGAACAGATGTGTTTAAACTCGATTAGTCAAACTACGTCAACTTGGTGAGATGGCACCTTGGCGGACGATTTCACAAGGAAACATGTTTACGGAGTTGCCGGTTTTAATTCGTCAACATATACTAAAAAAATATTGACGCTAAACTTAGAATTTATTACTAACTGCTATCGACTACTGCATTATCATATCGATTTCGATTAAACTATCTAGGATCGATAGTGATTCATGAGCTCTTAGAATATCTTCTATTTGTTGTACATAAGCATAATTTTAAGCTCTTTAAAAAAAATTTATCTAACCAAATTACTGTCGACCTTTTAGACATGAAATCATATCGTACCAAAGTCTAAGTTCCCATTTAGCATTACTGTTTAAACGATATTTTCAGAAATATGAAAAAAACGGATTAATTTTAAATAAAAAAGGAAGGTCAATGGGTATTTTATATGCCTTTGGGTATTTAAGAAACTATTTGCTTACCCGTGTACCGAATGTTTTGCTCCATTTTAATAAAAACTTGTTCATATCCTCAACAATCCTCTGAAAGCGGAAAATTATGAAAATTAAAAACTTGAAATTTTTTTCACACCCAAACTTTATTTGTTTATTCGCTGACACTACTTATTATTACATAGTAGCTTAAATATTTGTATGACTTGTATACTGCTTAATGTTATGTTTCGTAGTCTCAATGAACAGTACTTATTTCTTTTCTCATCATTCATTTTTTTGATCACATTTATTTGTTTTTTAAACGAACTACCTAATTTCGAAAATCCTTGACATGTTTGTCGTTGATACTCCCGCTTGATATAAATATGTGCTGCTTCCTGAATGAAGTTTCTCATCAAATGTGTTCGTCGACATAATGAAACACCGCACAAATTGTGATTCTTTGTTCATAAATTTTCAATATTTATTTTGTTTGCTGTGATGGTTTTGTATTTTAAATAAATCTTGTGTCCTGGTTCCGCGGTTGACGTATTACTTTGTTAGTGAGTTAAAATCAGAGTCAATATGTAAATTTACTCGTCAAACTCTTTCAATTGATTATTACTACCATATTCGTTACTAATTTTGTAGCCATTGCATTCAGTCCCACGTTTTCTCAAATATGATAAGATACATTTTATTATCATTTACTACCTAGTATGATTGTCCAATTTACTATCTTAATTTTGGCTGACGCATTCACACACATGTAAATCTTTTGCTCCACCCCTTAGATAATCGAGTAGTATCATTGGACCTCACTAATGCGTGTGGTTGAAAGCCAAGTTTTCAGTTACTGGACCGTGATGAATTTATTTCGAATTTAAAATAGCTTTCCTAATGTTAATGTTCCTAATAGTGTGAGTTTTAATAACACACAATCTCTAAAACTAAATTTGACTGGGTTTCATTGGAATGCTTATTTTTAAAACGAAAATTAGACTTTCTTATTTTACACTCAATAATGTACGTAAGCCGCCGTGATACACGTAGCTTCCAGAATAAACATACAGTATGTTAACAAAACCTAAGAATACAAATCACACTAAAAGTGAGTTGAAAAATATTAATAATAAAATGAGCACGAACTTTAATTTCCGACACAGACTCATCATATTCAGGATCTATACCAGGTTCTGGAATGATTCGACCTTCATTTTTAGCTTTTTCAGCATCGAAAGCATTCTATAAAATATATGACATGAAGATAAATCAGAGTAATTGTGAAAATCTGTAGTCGAACAAAACGAAACATAACAACAAATTAGTATAATTCGTTCCATATTTGTAAGACAACACTGTTTGAACTTCAAATACAAGCCATCCGTTTCCTCATGAAAACCCTAACATTTTCATTAATTCTTTAGTGAAAAAAACAAATGGCAACTTAGAAAAAATTCAAACTGTTTCTTGGGTCACAATAATTCAATATTAACTCTAATCTCTTCCAAATAACGAATTAATAAATTCGCTGTTTAAAAAAAGTTGATTAAAGGGGGATTTTTATTAGCTGTCGAGAATTCCCTCAACAATTGACAAAGAAACTTGGATTTCAATACGAGAACCTCAAAATCCGCTAATTGTTGAAGAGTTACGAACGAAACGGAAAATTAATAATAATGAAACTTATTCAATATGGATAAAATTACAGAGTGAATGAAGACAAACTCGGTACATTCAACCGCATCTAGGAAGCATATGAAGTGTGTCAATCAGGTTCCTTTCATATTGCAGAGGAACGAACCTATGGAAAGTTGTATATTGGCCGGTCCAAGTAGTTTCGTTTTAGTAACCCATCTATTCTCCCTGTGTTCTACTACAAAGCTTAATATTATAAATCAATGACGTTTTGTGAGATTTCGCTTTGTCAAAGTATTAACACCTATCCTCCTCTACTACTTATGATAAGATATTTGAGTGCATTTGACTTTTCCGTATACTAGATAAGCACGAAATCTTAGACATTTAAAATGTACCTGCATACAATAAGCTATTAGCCACCATTTAACAAATCAATGTTATGAGCAATTCTATAAAATGACAACGAAGGTAATAACTAAAGACTGTGTCTATTAATTACAGAAACTGAATTTAAAGATACTGTTGCATCCGAAATGAATAATAAATGGGTGTAAAGTTTATTTGATGATTAGTCCTTAGTACTAGGCATTTCTATCAAGTAGCAAGTTATTATATAATGGTGATGAAATGAACTGAGTAAGGGTGAATCAATGAAAAGAACTTGAGTGAATACACTGACATGTGTTAAACGAGTATACGCCCTAGTGGTAACAACTGACAAATGTGTCATAGTTCTATTTGGTCAAAAATGAAGGTTCAACTCTTCAACCTACATAGGTTCAACATATCTCTTATCATTGGTTCAAAAAACTTGAAAAGGAAAGATAAAAAAGGGAAACAATTAAAACAAATCAAAAGACCAACAGAGCAAAGTTTCCACAATTATAATTAAGCAGTTTAAAAAGCTAATAACACATATATTTCAAACGTACTTTGAAATAATTTATTTTCTCACTGATATCAGGGAAGTTGCCGCTCAGACTAGTTAAAGTTACTAATTTTTTCAAATATGCGGAGCTAAAATTATGGATTAAAAATACACATCAGACTTCAAGTATATTTAACAATAAACAAAATGGTACTACATCCAAGTAGCGGTCACTGATTAGATAAACAGATATTCAAGACAAATGAAACTGATGTATTTACGATTTTTGTGATATGCCAGTACAATTTATAAAGTTCAATCGAAAGAATGGGTAAAATTATCTTGTCTATTAAAGAAAATATAAGCGATGAAAACGATAACTTGACTGAATTATTGCTTCTAACAGGGTACGCAGTTACTAAGGTCACAAGAAAAGAGTGCAATTTTTTCTTCATATAATGAATTTCCAAAAGAGGGTAGTCATTTCAAGAGATCTGATCTTGTCTCTTTGCTACACAAAATTACGGAATACAGAAAGTAACATTTGAAGAAATTAATTTCATTGCGAGATATCAAGTGTATCTCTCTAGTAAATAAACAGGACTGTGTGATAGGACAGTATAAGGTGATCATCATCTTATTGTGTTTACAGAAGTTATATCCATAATGTAAACAAGAAATAAATTTCTAGGTTACTGGAGTATAGTGAAATGGTTTTCCATAAGTAATTAGTCACTAGTTTATTTGAATATTTATGATTAATGAATTCACGAAACAGAACTACCTAAAAACATACACAGTAAGTAGTGTTTCCATTGAAACGTAAGTTACATACTAATAAACTGTAACACAAGCAACTTCCAGGATTAAACTATTAGTCACAATACAGATACATTAACTGTTCATTTTTAAGTGCGAGGAAAAGAATATGATTATATATGGCTCGTTATTGGCTGCGACGACCTTCCAGACATGTATCAAATTACGTTTATACCAGTTTCTTGACTTCAAATCAACGTCGAGAAAATCAACAATATAAATTATTTTACTAAGCTCTAAATAATTTTAATCTCACTCAAATCAATAAACCTATTATGCAGTCCAATGTTAGCAGGATTAATAGTGGCAATCTGAAAGTCGAAAAACTCTTCGTAATTCTTAGATCATATCACAGTACTTTGTAATAATAAATAACTATGTTATTTATCTTAAGATAACTTCACATAAAGTTAGTTAGAAAGAATGGTATTAGCATCAACCTGGTGTTATCAGTCACTAACATAATTCTGAATATCAGTGTTGCCACTTCATCAAGTGAACTTATCAATAAGCATGGATTTACTAAAAGGATCTTTTTCTAGTAAACTTTTTTAAAAAAACACTTGCCGATCGAGAATATACTAATTCATATTGGCATAAATCATTTAAAACTAACCTTAATGAATAATGGTTGATTTCATGAATTATTTTATAGCTCAATTCGAAACCATCTAAAGTAGCCACAAAATCAGTAATATTTTTTCTTGAATATTGAACTTCTTCAAATATGATTGCCCTACTATCTGGATGGTTTTTATCACCTTTAGAACCCAATAAATGAATTCTGTAGGAAGAAAAATTATCGGAAATGTTCAATCGTCTTTATTGAAATATCAGTGTATTTTTAAGGTACAAAGTAGATTTGATTAGAAACAGAATATAACTTAAAAAATCAACAAACAAACTTACTTTGTAATAAGACGCTCTAAATCAGGCAACTGAGCTAATTTGTCTCGGAGTTTAGGAATTATATCACTGATAGAAATAAGATTTTCAATTGCCAGTTGTCTTTGTCTAATAACATTTGGGTTGCATGGTGGAGCAGTTATCCACTGACGCAACAAACGACGTCCTTAAAAGAGAAATCGAAATGTGAGAAAATTGTGTTAAATACATATGAAACAGGAACCGATAGGTGTCTTTTCAATATCCATTAAGTGTTTAGGGTAACAGCAGTAATTACTTCTAGCATCCGTAAACCAATCTTTTTTTTAATAAAAAGATACTATATTTTAACCGACTTCATAATATGAAAGAAATTAGTTGAGTTTGTAGCATAGTAGTGACAGTGGACGTCAGAAAAGTATTTTTACAACAGAGTCATTTTGTGTAAATGGGATTTCTGGCTAACAATAAATGATCATTTCGATTATTACAAAGTTATCACATAAATAAGGAATACACGTTGCTTTTAGTCATTATGGTTAATTTTGAACTCGTCTCGATAATGTTTATGAAATTCGGCATTTTAAATGGTCAAATGTCATAACAAAATTATATTTGCTCTACAATTTGAGAGACTTTTCATAATCATAAATCTATTATTATTAGTTTATAAAAAATTAGGTTCTCTATAGTACATTTTCTTTAATAAGTTGTAACTAAAGACTTCGATTTCTATACATCAATGTGAATGATTATGACAATAGAGTAACGGCATATACAACTGTTGATTTTCGAGTAATAAACACATACAGATACAAACATTTCTCCAATTACTACAATTTGAACGTATTTCACATCAAATGACTCATATTCACACATTAGGAATGATATTCAACAGTCTAACATGATCGGACAATCGTTTAATACATAGTTTTGGTGTGACATTATTTAGATTATTTCTCTGAGGTTGGGATCGCACCGAAAGGCGAAACGTTGACGATATTCAATTGTTGTGATTTTAACAAACATAACTACAAGTATCTGCTAAACAATTGATATCCAACGATTATGAAACTAATTGTTCAGAACCCAGTTGGGGTCCTCGTGATTATCGTAACCAATGGTTAGAGATTTTGAATGACATGGCTCAAATTATTTGCAATGGAGCACGTGCATTCGTTCTTCATCTTCCGCCAAATCCTAAGATTCTTAAATTACTGTTTTATCTTTACTTCACTATTTTGTATTTTCTTCTCGAGTCGCATCTTCAACGCGTAATCTTTCCTATTACCACTGATGCTAACACTACATCTACTATACTGAGATTTAGCATAACAATTCCATTTCTCTGTGCTAATGAAGCATGACATCTTGAACCGATGTGCATACGTACCAGACTCTATGTTACGGCTAACTGATTGTTCAACACTCAACGACATTTATTATAGCCGCTTCTTGTTACATGTTATTTGTCTATATTCCGATTATAAAACAAATTATACAAATACAAACAATGACATACCAAAGAAGGTACAACAAGTATTGAGACGTTGCAGCAAAGAACCTTCTTGAGAACCATCTACATTGTTTCGTATGATATCCAAATTAGATAATGTAATACTGTCCAAAACCTGCATATATGTTTTATCCACACGACCAAAATAATTACTTAAACAGTAAATATATTGAATAATATGGTATATCGAAACCTAAATTTAAAAAGTGCTATCTATGACAATTAAATGTTGACCAGCCTACTATCCTATAAAAACCTCTTTTGTGGAAAAACATTAGTTTCAATCGTCCAGAAGTGGGTTGAAATCAGGACAAGTTGAGCTAATTCAGTATGTACAAAGGCTGTAGTAATCTGCAAAAATGTATTGTAATTTGCTTAAATTCACTTTGGATTGTTATAGCGTAATTCCAGAGTGTTGAGTATACTACTTTGTCTTAGCTGATTAGTAGGAATAATAGTAAGAAATGATACTTTTATGAAGTATTTAGTGAAGACAACATCCAAAGGTGCAGAAATTAATTATAAAAACCTAGTGTTTTAACTCCGATTAGAAAAACTCTATAGACGCTGTTGTTTAATAACATTAATTTTACTTGACATATATATTTTTTAATGGTTAGTGGTACAGTTACTCATGAAACGAATTACGTTTATTTCAGAACTTGTTAGTTGAACGTATATGTGCTTTAATGATGTCTTCACCGACACTTGAAATCAGTGCCCATTATCTCGCATATCAGATCGTGATTCACCGGGTTTCTGCGTAACAACTTTCATCAGCCCCTAATGCCCTGATATGGTCGAGAAGAAAGAGAATCCGATTCCCTTTCGAAATGCTCTCACATGAACTCACGTATACAGTCACTGCAAGGTAGGTCCTACGCATTGCCTTCATGCGATGGGGGTGTTGTTTACGAAATTAAAAGGATGGAAAGAGAATTACTCCTTAACCGGAATAATGGATACAGAGGATCTACCTACAGAGGTTGGAAAATCCTGACTCAAAACCAATGGTGCACACAGGCTCCAGGATACTGAGGGAACAAATGGCGTATGGACCTATTGTTAGTCACCGGTTACATAGGACTGCATTTTCTAACGTTGTTCCACTGCCTTGTGGAATAGACCTTAAGGTCAAAGGCTTCGCGTGTAGCCTCCTAAGAAAACTACCTGTTTAGGCACCCCTGCACTATCCCAACACTCAAACAAATTAAATGATTATTAATATTGGAGAAAATTATTGTTGCTTCGACACTGATTCCAACAAATCATATTCAAAATTATCTTTCTTACACTACGTCGCTTATCTACTCCCTTTTATTCTCATTATGTGTATGCTTTTCTTTTTCAAATTATACAGCAACTCGCCTATGGTGGAAACCGTCTTATCTAAACGATATCAAGTCACTGACTGGTCGGAAGTTGGATGCTACCGTCGAATGCGAATACTGAAAGTTTTTTCTAAAACCATGTACATCATTCAGACTGACTACCTTCAACGTTCGCGCACTAATGCAGATCGGACAACAGATAGGGTTGGCTATGTCCTTAGAAAGTATTATTATTGATGTCTGTTGTCTATCTGAAACCCGTGTTCAAGACTCTAGTGAAGTACTACAAATTCGCTCTCCATCTGTCGACCAGATAAGCTTGTTTTACGTGCGTTTATACGGAGACCTTGTGGCATCTTTGTTTAGTTTTGCTGGTGTTGGTGTCGCACTAAAGTTGAGGCAGTGCTGATCGACTAAATCCTCATTAACAGTCGGCTATGTGTTGTTAGATTAAGTTACATCGGAGTGCGAAGAAATCGGTGTGAGAAACCATGTCTTCTCGTCATATCCCCTGCTCTCCGATAGACTGCTTTCCGGGTGCGATTGTAGGTGAGTTTTATCACCAGTTAACCGTTTTTCTATAGAAAGTGAGTTCGACAGATATTGCAGTACTAGCCGGAAACTTGAATGCTCAGGTCGGGCGTCTAGGTACGGGAAAGAGTCGTTTAGGTGGCCGATAGGAACTTGTTGGTCGCCGGTCAGGTAACTGGGACTGCCTACTCCAACTGTTTGCAGATCACAGCGTGTTTCTGGTTAGCACTATCTACTAACATAGTCATCGCCAATGTGTTACATGGCGTCCTCCCTCGTCATCTCAAGCCTGGATTCAGATTGATCACATCACGACCAGCTACCGCTGGCGTGGTTGTGTACAAGATTGTCGCTTCTTTTGGAGTACCTATGTGGACTTTGATCATACCCTTGCTTGCGCTAATCTTACCTTACTTTTTAGTGGCCAACAAATTCATCGTCCTAAACGGATCCATGGTTGCAGCTTCTGTTGCAACTAAATATCAGACCAAGTAGGTTTGAGGTAAGCTGTCAGCCCACCAAAAAGTATAGATGAGTATTGGCTATAATTGCATAACGCCATGAAAATGGCGAGTAAGGTCGCTTGCGGCTTCGCAGAACTTCCCATTTATAAGGGCTGGGTTTAAATAGCTCTTAACAACTCTCTGAAGCACGTCGGTCTACCTCGGGTAACCACGAGTTTGACCATAAACGAATATTTTCAAGAAATGAAATTGTGAAAAGCTTGCTTAAGGACCGAGAAGACTGGTGGTCAGGACATGCTAACGAATTGGGAACAACAGTTTCATCTGGTAACTGCCGGAAGCCCTTTGAATTTATTCGAGCCACTGGGAGCATGAAGTCTGGTGTGAGTGAAACAATCTGGGGAGCTGACGGGATGCCAACCAAAAATATCTACCGACGTCTTGGACGATGGACAGAGTTTTTCGAGTAACAGCTCAACTGATCTGCTGCTCCGGCGACATCGATCAAATTGTCGTGCCCTCCATGACCGATGACGACTGATCCACCTAACGAGGCGGAGTAGCGCAAGAAACTTCAACACCTGGAGGGCCACAAATCACCAAGCCCAAATACCTGAAGGACGTATTTCAAAAGAACGGCTACCCAATCAACTTCATCAAAAAACACCAACCGCACGCAGCATCAGAACCCAAGTCAAGCACAGAAATCAACAAAAGGATCACCCTACCATACATACAAGGAATATCAGAAACCGCAACGAGACTGCTGAAAACCTTCGGGATAGGCGTGGCACACAAACCGACAAAATCACTACAATCAATCCTATGCAAACCGAAGGATGAAATAACAAAGGAAAACAAATCAAACATCATCTACAAAATAAATTGTGCCAACTGCGAAAAACACTACATCGGATAAAGCGGACGCCCCCTTTACCTTCGCCTACATGAACAGCAACTAGCAGTCAAACGCCATGATATCTCTTCACTTATATCAATACACGTGGACAACTACGGACACTCATTCGATTGGAAAAATGTAGAAATCTTAGACAAAGGAAACTCCAGAAACACCAGAGAATTTTTAGAAGCCTGGCACTCAGGTCAATCAGCAATCAACAAACATATTGAAATCAATCCAATTTATCAACCAATCAGGAAAATCGTGCACAAATATAGGAACAAAAATCGAACCAATGGGAGACACAGCCAAGACAAAGAAGTGAACAATGATAAATTTAAGGTCAATAAGAACCAATCAACATCGAGGTACACAGAACAAGCTGTGGAACACATATGGAGAAATTCGAACACTTCACTTCTACCTGAAGTTTGTGCTGATGATGTCATTCAGAAGAACGATGAAAGCTCCACGACCAAACCATCCAGCTCAGAGAACAAAAATCCACCAAAAGTCTACTTTTGATTGCACCCAAACTATTGGTTTCCATCATACTTCGTAGACTGTTCAAAACCCGATAAACATTGACTCGCGAGGAGCAGCTTGGTTTTTGTTCTGGCCGAGGCTGTAGTGACCATATCTTCATCCTCCACTAAATGTCCACTAGTGACCAGTTTCAAGACGGATCTCCTGGAATTCTAGTGAAAAGCCGCAACTAGCGGAGTTTTACCGTGTTGGTTGTGAAGCGGTTACTCACTGAAGACAATGGTGGACGGTCGCACATTAACGTGGACTGGTTGAAAAGGGACATTAACACCGTTGGATGCCGGCCCGTTGTTCTAGAGGTTCAGCGTTCGCGTGCGAAATCGAAGGTCCTGAGTCCGAGTCCCGCGTGCGGAAACGTGAATGTGCACTGCTGAGAAGTCCCATATTGGGACGAAACAGCTGCTCAGTGCATCCAGGTTTTCAATAGTGGTCTGACATTGATCCATTTATGATGTAAGGGTGTTGGTAAACCTCTTATCATTGCAATTTTATTTTTGAGACTTGAATTTCTCATTTTCGCGCCAAAAGCACCCATTTTGACGTTCATATTGTATTTCCCACTTAGTAGGATCTACAATGTGATTGATTTTTTTAATACGCTATTTTATGACGCTTCGAAGGTCCTTTTTGTACTTTATATATACGTTTGAGTTGTGTGCTTGTTTTGTTCGTGCTTCTGGTTGCTTTTGGAATATATCTTTCCCTCATCTTGAACTGGTCTTCTACCTCTCGTTAGAGGGGCTAGGACGCATTGGAATAGTTAGCTCGATTCGTCGTGTCGCAGAATTTTCGTTTCGTTTGCCGATTTTAGGTGATCTCGTAATCTCTTCAAACATTGCATGGGACACCGCCATACTTATTGCGAGCCAAAAATTGTAGTGTTTCTCGACACTAGGGACGCCTTCAATTCGTTCGACAGGGCTGTTATCTGAGATTGTCTATTGAAGAAGGGTATTCCTGAGAAGTTTATTAGCATCATTAAAGCCCTATATACAAACACACCAGGCAGAGTGAGGGCATGTAACCATCTCTATTCACTGCACCATTCAAGCAGTGGGATTAGGCAACACTGCCTGATCTCACCATTCCTCCTGAGTATTTTCATCGATGACGTTCTGAAAACAGCTATGATGGATGTAAGTAGTGGTGGTGTGGATCTGCTGCCTGGAGAAAGATTTTTGGACATATTATATTGTCTTACTGCGGGATGATACCCAAGCCATGCAATCTGCATTCAATCAGTTGGCAATGTGCCCATCGGTATGGCATATGCTTTGCACCTTCCAAGTGCAAAGCACTTTTACAAAACTAGCAGGACCCTGAACCTGCACTCCCCCTGGATTGTGACAGATCAAGTAGTCGAGAATTCGTATATCTGGGTAGCTGTGTAATTGCCGGTGCGTGAGATGAGATCAATTCACATATGGTGAAAGCCAAGAACAATCTGGCCCATATTTGACACCGTGATGTTACACTGGGTGTAAAAAAGTTGGATCAACCACACATCAGTGAGAGCAGTCTTGCTCTATGTTTGTGAAACCTGACCTGTTTGAGTTGATGATGTTACACGACTCTATATGTTTGATCATCGCTCTCTCTGAAGGATTGCTGATATCCAGTAATGGAATGTTCGACGTCGTGCATTCGGGCACAGAGATGATAATTTAGTTGATGTCACCATCTCGAAACATCGACTTCCGTGGCTTGGACATGTACTACGAATATCGTCCTAGAGAGTTCCACTCTGTGCATTATTTGCCAAAGCAGGGACCGGTCGGAAAAAGTGGAGAGGTGGTCAATGTATGATGTGGTATGAAAGAAAACTGTACAGGACTGGCTTCTGTTGGTCATTCACGACTCCCTGGTTGGGATCCTAGAGATGGTACAACACAGTGGCTTGAGACGTTATCAGACATGGCTCAGAAAAGAAGCCCATCGCGATCCTGCTGTAACTTTCTTTTACCTTCTTCGCAAAGGTGAACGTAACTTCTTTAACTGAAAGAATTCTTTCTAGTTGTATTTTTCTTAACTGAACTGCTTCTCCCACTATTATTATTATTATTATTGTTATTATTATTATTATTAATGTTTCACTCATACACTAATTTCTGTTCATTGTTGTTCTTTCATTATACTCACCCTCTATCCTCTCTCTTCACAACCTCATTGTTATTGTGTGACGCATAGGTATTCGGTGCCTTCTTGTACCAATGTTATGTGTTCAAATAAATAAACTTTCATCAACAGTTCTCAATAACAAAAGTAGAATACGTATTTCGTTGCTATCCACTACCCGAAGTATAATAAATACGTAAACGCAAATGATGTCAAGAAATTTGTACAAGGAACCGAAATAGCAAAAATTATTGGTTATTTCAGTTCTCAATATCAACAACGAAATAAATCGAAACTCATATAAATCATCAAATTTATTATACGAAAATGCAATACCTAAGAAAAACCTGGAAGTTAACAACGATCTAAAGTTACAAATTCAAACATATGAGTGTAAAAAATGTGAAATGAAAACAGACATCTTTAATGAAAAATTTCCGAAACAGACGATCAGTCTACGTTTGCATTAACTAGTAGCCACGCGGATAGAGAATGAAGGGGAAAATGAAGATGAGGATCCTAGCTATACCAAAAAGCTGTGATAAGAACCTAGGTCTAGGATTTCCTGTTGACTACCTCCAACCGCCATCTTATCTCAACATAGTGCACGCACTGTCGAGCCACATTGCAATCTGGTCGATAGGATTCGACCTGCAATAAGAAGGACCTGACATACATGACATTGATCAGTACCCAGTGACCAATCAATTGTAAATAAAAAGCTATAAGAACAGAAAACACGACGCTAAATAAAAACTGAAGTATAAAACATTTAGTTTCTCCAAAAAGAAAGAGAATGCACATAATTGACAATTTGAATTTTTTTTCTGTCATATACTTTGTTCTTAGTTGTATCATTAACCCTATTTACGAAGTCTGGGGCTGTTTTATTTATTTACTTATTCGAACATCGGTACGGTGTTGGAAGAGGTGAATAGGTGGTCAGTACACATCGTCCAAACCAAATGTCTGAGCTTTTTAATAATAACTCATGTGAGATAGGGACTCACTGATGACAATGGTGGGTGTGTCACTCAATTTCGTGGATTAGTTGAAGTTAGACATTAACACCGTTGGATGCCGGCTCAGTCGTCTAGTGGTTAAGCGCTCGCGCGCGAGACTGATAGGTCCTGGGTTCGAACCCCGCTGCACGGGGTCGTGGATACGTACTGCTTGGGAGTCCCACAATAGAACGAAACGGTCGTCCAGTGCTTCCAGGTTTTCCATCGTGGTCTAGCTTCAATTGACTCATGATCTCAACTATTGAAATTACTACAATCTCCACAAAACCCCTTCTGATACTAATAACTCATGTTTGACGTTATGAGTATAAGACTATTTTATTTCTACATTAGTACAAGCTATGATATAGAAATATGGATAGAGTAAGTTGTATGTACCTAGCGGTTTAGGTGGTGATCTGACAATCGGAAACCAATAAACGTATCACAAAAACACAAGTTTAAAAGTGGCAGACTTAATTATCTTGGTTTTACTCAATGTGGTTAAATGTCAAAAGGGGTGTACAGAAATCAATCAATCGAGATTTAAGCTAGTTAATAATAAACACATCAATTAATATGTTCTAGTACTACATCAATAGGAAAATCATCATCAATAGTTTCTTCTTAGGACTGCGGAAACAAAATAAAAAACCACTCATTTGTTGTGTTTGATGTGTTTAGGAAAACTGATCACTGAGACGGCTGAAAACTCAGTAGTTTAAGATAGAGACCTAACTGGGATCTAAAACTCAAATGCATTTCAGAATTTTAAACTTACCATCTGAGACTGTGTATCATAAAATAATTCAATAGACCCAGGACTTCTTTGAGAGTTAGCATTCTTCATATCTATTGGTACGTATACATCAATGAAACCCAGTGATAGTACTTCACGATCAATCAAACAGTAACGTAAGTAGTAAATAAGTGCACCAAGACACCGAAATGCTAGTTCCCATTCTGGCTTTACAGTACGTCCTAGTGGATCATCTGGTCCGAAATAAATAAAAAAGGCCATATTCATTAGAACTTAGAGAAGTATTACTGAGTATTTTAAATATAAAATTGTACTAAGTGCAGTTACAGTGAGTGTTATTTACTTTGTTGAAAATGTAATGAAAAAATCTAATGATTTCACAGTCAGCGAACTAGGAAATTTAACCTACCCATTGGTTAGAGGTTTACTAAAAACGTAGAGGTCAAAACTGACATGGGTAGAATGTCACAGGAATAAGAGACCAATTTAAAAATCGTACTGCATCTATACTATTAGCACATTCAAGTGAAAGGTATGACTGTGTAACACGATGTTATAATATGTTGTATTAGACAGTGATAAATGTGCTGCTGGTTTTACTACCAGAAAGTCAATTCTCCTACTGCAGTAGATCCTCGAGTAAAAACATTATAGCTAATGTGATTTGGACTTTGTAGCTGTTTAACGTGATAACGACTGTCACCTACGACCAAATATAATCTCCGGTCATAAGAGATGTGCATACGAAAACTACAAAATAAATACATTAAAACCAATTCCCACACTAACTATACCGCTTTTTATATACTTGATTGATTTTTACTAAAATAAGGAATGAAAATTGCTTACACCACTATCTGAACTCAGACTAATATAGTCGGCTTCGAATGATGCTTCAAATCTAGGCGCTGTTCGTATCATCAAGAATTCTAAACCAAAGAAATTGGAATGAGATTTGAATTTCAACCCAATGGTTGAAAGTCCGACGTTTTAAATATTGAGTCACTGTAATTAGTTATGACACCGAAAAGTCTTTCTTCTACTACTTACTTTGAGATGGTGGGGAAGATTTGTAGCTCAGATGGATGATTTTGGTGGAGTTTTGTTCTCTGAGCTGGATGGATTGGTCGTGAAGCTTTTATCTGAAGTCTGAAGTTTATTCTGATGATGTCGTTCAGAAGAACGATGAAAGCTCCACGACCAAACCATCCAGCTCAGAGAACAAAACTCCACCAGATACTACTTACTTTGGCAGGACGTTTCTCAGAACACAACTAAATTTTTGATTGTGTTGCGAGAATGTCACTTCTTATTCAAAAGGATCAGTTTAGAACATGACTGAGTGTGACTAATTCATGATGTATCTCCGACATCTTATTGGAGGTTCATATCTCCAAGATAAGTGCTTGAAAACAATGAAAATTCAAATTAGAAATTGATATGAACAAACGACAAGAAAAACACTGAACTTTTATTGCATTGGTTGAAACATATAGAATAAACATAATCGTTATTCTGCTACAAAGATTTTGACAAATCTGCAACTTCAAAACAGACTAACTACGACGAAATCTGAAAAACAACATTACACATATCGTAACGAACCTTCGGATAACATATTTAAGAGAACATCTGGCCAACTTTCCTTATCAGGGAACGAAGATACTTTGGAGATATGGTTCGAATCAACGGTGATGTTGGACATCCGTTTTGGGAAATAATCAGCTGTTTCCAACTCTTGGACAGTGTTCTTTGCACTCCAAAATTGTTTCGTTGGCGTTAGAAACTCAGTTGGAACACATGAAAGAGATGTTTTTATCAAGGATTTTATAGCTACTCCTGCAGTTCCACGCTCGATTAGTAACTGGTAAAAAACATTAAACCTTTTTATTAATGTTACCAAATCATCAGTAAATTAACTTGCTTGAGTGGTTGTGTGTATAGTGCCTTCATTTTTATTTAAACAAATGATCCAACCAAGCTGGCTTTTTCTGTTAGTTATAGAAATTCCCAAAATAGTTTACTTAACTGAAGTATATCGAGTGATAAGGTCTCGAAAGCATCGGCTAGAACGGGAGGGGCGTACTACATTTGGTCCGTAATGATCTGGTTTTATTGAAGCGAAAAGATGAAATACTAGAGTGAGGAGGTAGAATTCTAGGATAAACCAATTCAAGAACTGAACGTATGACTTGAAGTGAGCTTGTTGACAGTACATGTGAGAAAGCAGAAGCTAGTATTATTAGGTATTAAGCTAACTAGCTTAACTTCTTAGATCATTATTACAATACCTGCCACTTATCTTGATTGAAGCCTCAGTTATTCAACAAATGCTCATATTACTGTACTATCATTTCATACTAAGCCGAGTATCATGGTAATGGGACGTTCATCAGATCCTGTTTCCAGGAACAACAACTGCATAAATAAATCTTTTAATTGTTAGTATTAGATTGGTCAAATTTGTACTGATCAACTGTCCAACAACTGATCATTGAATATTACGAAAGATATTAACCGATCAGTCACCAATCTTTCAGAAAAGGGATTTCACCATATATACTCCATCCACATCAAACTCAGACTGGTAAAGTTATTTCAGACGTTTTAGTCTTTTACACTTATTTGAAAAAGAACTCAACACTTGACTTTGTTATTGTCGGTGCAGTATTTGAATCCTTAAGCCATGAAGAAAGAACAAATGAAAATTTCTAGAGCTTGTCGTTCAACCTTACTCTTATTCTGACATTTTCATAAACTTTAATGTGATAAATTTTAACTCGCCGATACTTAACTATTAGATGACTAAATTTCGAGAGCATTAGAATAATTGTTAAACACAGTTTGAAGTAACCTTTTGGTGAACTTGGAACTGTACGCTTATAACGATCAAAAATCTCCCATTTCTTATTGAGGATCGTCTGGACCTAAGTGGTATCTAATATTTAAAAACGTTGACTGAAATGTAACGGTTCTACTACCCTTTTAAATAAATACAGACAATTCCCCTGCCATCACTGAATTAAATAACTTCGAAAACATTTTATAAACGGCTTAGCACTTAATTGCATCTGATGTTGACTTGCGCATGAATATTCCATGTGGAAATTTTTAAGATTCGGTGTAACACGATTAAATCAATGTGGCTACAGAGAATTTAGTAAATCCCTAATTACATAATGACAAAGTCATCCACAAATGAAATAAATGTGAATGGAATATAGTGAGTGTAGAAATTTCGGATTCAAAAAGGAAGTAAATTATGACGTAAAACAAAAAACATCGATTTCTTCGCATGCGACTGGAGATCAAGGTATTTAGGAATAACATTTAAAAGAGAATTATTTGAGTAAACAATGTAAAGGGTAACACAAAGTGAACAGATGAGAACACACCAACGCTAAGTATCTAACACAAAACAAAACGCCTTTGCATATCTTACCTGGTTAGGAGGATGGTGGGATAAAAATGTTCGTAATCGAGAACAGTGACGATCATCTAAAAACTGACCAATCTACTTTAGTTGTATAAAACCGAAGGCAACTTACATTGATTTTGCCAGTGGATGCATTCAATAAACCTATTCCGAAAGCAAAAGGGTAACTTTTATTACCGTGCGATTCTACAACAGCAAGTAAAAATGAATCAGGATTGGCTAAGTTTATCAAATCCCTAAAGCTTTCGTCATCATTTTCAACATCACCAGTCTCCACAGCCTTTACATCAGATATCTCTGACCTCGTACTGGCTGTGCAAGTACCCGGTGTTATAAGTTGACATACTTCTCTTCGCACAACCTTCTCGCTTGAAGATTTTCGTTTGCATCGTTCATTCATAGCATCAATTGATTCCGTTTGTTCAATGCGAGCAATCTTATAACCCTTGGTTTGAAATAACACATAAGAAACCTATAAACTTACTTTACGGACAAGCTGATCAGCCATACGAGGAAAAGCCACTTCAGGAAATCCACAGTGTGCAAAGTTCCCCTTCATAAACACCAAACCAAGCTCCTTTACGCCAATCATAGCATCCATGTGGTACATTTCATAAAACTTTCCAACCTTAAAAAACAGAATTACGTCGGTGTATCGCGACTTTAATTCCCACCACTGCCGCATGCCAGGAGTTTGTTTAGTCTAAAGTACTGAACAAAAAAACTCGTGTACAAACCTTAAACTCCTCTGGGACATATAATGTGTGTGAGTCATATTCTGGATGATCGGGCCTTCGACCGTTGATATCTTTGATTTTAGAGGGTTCTAAAAATGGAAGGCTTAAGTGAGTCCATGAAACAGTTTCATCTTCAAATGCTTCATTGACCTGCGCGACTACACTCATTTCTAGAGGAGATTCGTCTGCCGCCTCGTTTATCTTTTTGCCATTTTGTCTGACCGGCTGCGGGGAGAATGAATACCTTGACAACTGTTACTAAATAACAGGTCAGTAACATCACTTACATCACGTTTATTTACCGCTTCTGCCTTTTCTTTTGAAAGAGCAGGGGCCTCATCTTCATCATCACTGGATTCGATGATAACCCGTCGTCTTTTGCTAACGGACGAAGTAGTGGGGCTGGACATAACCTAACATTAAATGTATTAAGTTCGAGGTGATGAACTTTACTTCGTCATCGTGTCCAGTGGGTGGTCTCAGGCAAACAACTGGAGAGTTTGTGCTTTTTGAGGATTCTGAACACATTTTGTTTGAATTTTCAGATAAAGGTTTAGGGAACGCGTAAAGAATGTCAAAAGGCTCTTCTGCATTTTTTAGGATATCAAAAATTGTAGCAAGTTGATAATCAAGTCCTATACTAAGCAGATTTGAGTAATCTACAAGTCAGGGAACATAAACGAGTCATGATTAGTCAAAACTCACTAAGAACACTCAAAACTACCTTATAACCGCAAAGTCTCTAAAACCTAATTGAGCGCATTGGCACAAGGTCTGCTCTGCTGTCAGTAAAAAAGAAAAAGGAAGGTGTTCATTGAACAACAATAATATGTCTTTAGTCTTCAGTAATAAGGATAGAAGGTCTATCGACCTATATTAATCCTTGCAGTTTGTAGCACTGTGAAGGTCCAACCCCGTTTTGAATATATCAACAGAAGGTGCTGATATTAGGTGTTCTGGTAGAGAATTTCAGTAATTCACTACTCGGTGCAAGAAACAAAACTTCAGACGTAGATGATTTGACCTCAGTTTTTGAAATTTCTTCGAATTTCCTCTCAAATGCTCAGTCCTAGGCGGAATGAAAAGACAAAGTGTATTATTACTAAGTCCATCGTTCAGTATACGATAAGCCAGTATTAGATCACCCCTGTTCTACGGTATGATAACGGAAATATTTTAAGACGTCCTAGTCCGACTTCCTAAGATAGGCCAGCTAAGCCTTTTACCATCTTAGTTCCTCGTCGTTCAATCGGATATCCGCTTCCTACTTGAAACACAGACTCGCTGCGTGAATCCCATATTCCAAGGTCGTTTCATCATCCAAATACTGGGAAGACCTACGAATAGACAATAATACCCTATGGCCTTTTAAGGCAGCAGCCTTACAGTGACTCGTAGTTTTGAGATCACTGCTTAGTATGACTCTTGAATCTTTATAGTTTCTTACATTGGGTAGCACGAATCCACGTATTGTTTAATGATACGAATCATCACAGTTATTTAACTACATCACCACAGTCTTGTTAGGATCTACTTCTAGTGACCTCCTGTCCATCAATGGCACCGATGAGCTGAGATCATCGCGTAATACTGTTCTATGTGACATGCTGTGTACAGTCATAGACATGTATAGAGTATAAAATAATGGTCTGTTTTTTGTTGGTTTGTTTTTTGTTCTCGTGACTCGGTTTTCAATACACTTGACATTTTAGTGATTAGCTAGTGTCATCTAAATGATTTATTTCCACTCGCATTTTAGTAATAAAATAAAGTTCCGTGCATTTCGCACTGTTCAATAAACCCATCAAAGCTTTTGGTCACAACAGTTCAAAAGTTTCATGCAATTAGTTCCCTTTATGAATTTAAATAAAGCAAGAACAAATATTGATGCAGAATAGTATAAATTCACAATATTTCGGGGTTTCTCGTCAACTGCTTACAACGGAATATGTAATATAATTTTACATTCTTTCACACTGAAGATGGCACAGGTATTCAGTGTTTGACAACGCTTTTACCAGCAACACCTTCTAATATAATTTGTACCCACCAAGAGAAATCAAAAGACAGAGTCGAGGAGATAGGGAGAGTGTATTTGGCGAAAACCAATATATCGGAATTCTCTGATCTAATCTGGCTAGCGATTGCGGTAGATGTTGAGCACAGTGTTACCACACGTGATCTGGTGCGGATGCATGACCGAGCGCCTTCAGCTAGATGAGTCCACTAAAACATATGGTCAGCATCCAATGTCGAAAATTTACAGAGCTATTTATTTTGGGGATTTATTTACCGCTACAGATCACTCCCCCCTAGTGGGGCAGTGATGACCCTAAGACGTGGCCAGCCAGAAGTTTAAACCCAACGAGTTTGTCGTTGGTAAACACTCTTCTGATAGCTTACTAGGATTAGCAGCGTCTGGTCGTCTTTCCTTACTATATGGGACCGAGGTACAACATAGTAAAAAAAGAAAATGTACGATGAAAATTTCAGCTCCTCATAAACGTCATCGTTCTTTTCCAGCCGTCCTGGAAAAGAAAAAAGAAAATGTAAGTGCATGTCGAAATACACTCGTATGTGCGTAAAAACACAATGTCGGCGAAAAAATTGGAATTTAAACTGATTTACACGTAATTTTGTTTAAAAAATTTATTGTTTTTTTTGTTTTTATTTGAATAAAAATAAAAATATATAAGCATATTAAAATTGTTTTTTTTAATATATTATATATCGTAAAAAGAAAGATCGAGATAATATTAAATGTCTAGTAGTGCCTTACGTGCAATAGTCGTTTAAATGTTCTGGAAATCTAACTCTTCTTCCAGAACGCGTCGTTTTAAGTTTATTTTCAGATACATTCGGAGTATCATCGCTAGTGTTGGTTGTCGGTTGAGGAATTATGAGTGGAGTCGTGTCGTTCGATTGTACCGAAGGAAAATCGACGTAGATAGGATTTCCTTCTAAATACGCTGCTTTTAAGCGATCGATGCTGATGCTATCGTTGGTTCCGTTCTTATCGACTATATAGTACTTAGATTCACGTTGAAGAACTTTGAAAGGTCCTTCGTATGCTGATTCGAATGGTCGTCGATGCGAGTCTCGACGAATGAAAACGTGTGTACTATATCGTAAGTCAGGTTGAACGAAAACATCAGTTGATTGAGGTCGAGTGGAAGCAGGTTTAACTGAACGCATTGCGTTTGTAAGCCTGTTCGTGTAGGAGGTTAGATCCATGTTCATCGAAGAGCACGAAGGATCCACGAATTCTCCTGGAAGTCGAAGTGTCGTTCCATAAACGAGTTGAGCCGCAGTGTATCCAATGTCAGCTTTCACTGCATTGCGGATACCTAGTAAGACGAGTGGAAGAGCGTCGGTCCATTGTGAAACGTTTGCAGCTGATAGCGAAGCTTTCAGTTGTCGGTGAAAACGTTCTACCAACCCGTTTGCTTGTGGGTGGTAGGCGGTCGTTCGGAAGCGAGTGATTCCTAAAAGTGTGGTCAGACGACGGAAAAGATCAGATTCAAACTGACGTCCGCGGTCTGTAGTGATGGTTGAAGGGCAACCGAAGTTTGCTACCCATCGTTCGACGAATGTGCGGGCCACTGTTTCAGCAGTGATGTCCTTGATAGGTACTGCTTCTGGCCATCGAGTGAAACGGTCTACGCAGGTTAAGAGATAAGAGTATCCATTTGAATCTGGTAAAGGTCCTACCAAATCCAGATGAACATGGTCGAAACGAGCATCGGGAGTTTTAAACGAGCCTAAGGGACATTTATTGTGTCTGATAACCTTAGATTTTTGGCAGCTTACACAGGAGCGTGCCCACTCCCTCACGTCTTTATTCATGCCAGGCCAGCAAAATCGTTCTGCTATAAGCTTGATGGTTGCACGAACACCTGGATGAGAAAGTTTGTGCAATGTGTTGAAGACATTGCGTCGATAATGTTTCGGCACGATTGGGCGATCCCTACCTGTAGATGTGTCACAAAGTAAGGTTTCCTTACCTGTTCCCATCTGTTTGATGCGTAGTTTAAGTGTTGTGGACGATAACTCGTGCTGAAGATCAGTGTCTTCTTTTTGAAGCTCGGCGAGTTTAAGAAGGTCGATTCCTTGGAAACTGTTCAAGGAAGTTATGCGAGATAAGGCGTCTGCAACTACATTGTTTGCTCCAGAGATGTGTTGAATATCTGAAGTAAACTGCGAAATGTAGTCCAGTTGTCGAGACTCACGGGGAGAGTACTTGTCAGAAGGAGAGCTTAACGAGAAAGTGAGCGGTTTATGGTCCGTGAAAAGAGTGAATTCACGGCCTTCGATATAGTGTTGGAAATGCCGTACAGCACAATACATAGCTAGGAGTTCCCTACCGAATGTGCTGTACCTCGATTCGGTGTCTAGCAACCTTCTAGAGAAAAATGCCAAGGGTTGCCAGGAGTTGTTAACCCATTGTTGTAAGACTCCTCCGATTGCTGAGTCGGATGCGTCTACTGCGATGCTAATGGGTGCTCGGGTGTCCTGATGTGCGAGCATTGTTGCTTTAGCGATCAGTTCCTTAACTGTGGAGAATGCTTTTCGTGCGGTGTCGTCCAAATTAATGGATTTCGCATTTCCACGAAGTTGGTCGGTCAGAGGTTTCATAAGTAATGCGCATTTCGGTATGAAACGTCTATAGAAACTTACCAGGCCGTTAAACGTGCGTAATTGCTTGACGGTGGTCGGTTCTGGGTAATCCAGAATGGCCGCCACTTTGGTTCTAAGGGGTCGGATACCTTGAGCATCGATAGTGTGTCCCAGAAAGTCTAATGAGTCGGTTCCGAATTGGCATTTCTGAACGTTTACAGTATGCCATGTTTTTGTAATCGTTCGAAAACAAGATCCAGATGCTTGAGATGTGTTTCTCTGTCCGGACTTGCGATTAGACAGTCGTCAACATACGCATGTGTAGTGGCATTGGACAATAGCCACACAATCCACAAAGCTGTGAACACGAGACTACTCAGAAAATAGATATTCAATATTTAACGCGGAGAAATACCTAACAATGGAGAAGGCGCGATCAATGAATTGAATGGACTGAAGTTGATCGAGTGGCATGGCTCGGCCATGCAGGCGTGGTCTCTGCTGAATGTTACCTTATATCTTTTATTCACATTAAATATATTGTTCTTTCTCCAGCCTAACCTTGTTCTACATCATGTATTAGTAATTGATACGATACAGTGAGTCGGTGTAGTCGATGGTGTGACTTTCACGTAAGATCTTATAGATTAGGCAGTTATATCATGACAAATCTACAAATTTAGGATTAGGTCTATTATTACAGCAGTACTAATATGATAGTAGACCATAATTCTACACATGTACGAAGTTGAGACCTCGAAAAACGTCGTCTATGATTCTTTGGAATGTTTGAGCAGCATTTCTTAGACCGAAAGGCATTCGCAAAAATTCATAGAGTCGGAAGGGAGTAATGATAGCAGTTTTCGGAATGTCGTCACTAGCCATAGGGATTTGGTTATACGCTTTAACCAAGTCGATTTTCGAAAAGACAGTTGTATTTTTCAAAGTAGCTGTCAAATCGTGAATGTGAAGCAACGGGTAACGGTCGGGAATGGTTTTCGCATTCAATCGCCGATAGTCGCCAGTCGGACGCCAATCGTTGCTGTCCCTTTTAGGGACCATGTGCAACGGAGATGCATATGGGCTATTTGACGGTCGTATGATTCCTAAGTCTATCATGTGATCGAATTCGTTTCTCGCTGACCTTAGTTGTTCAGGAGCTAGTCGTCGT